GTTCCTATGGACAGACTATTTAAAAAAGCACAATAAAATGAAAATAAAGATCATTATTATATTACATACTATCATTATAATTAGCAGGCAGATAAATAGAAGGATGTTCCCACGGATAGCGTCGCCTCAATTCCGGACTCGTATGTCCGCTAGTTCCGATGATTCAGAATTATCTAGAGTGTTTAGCATCTTTCATCGTTTTAGGATAACAATATTTTATATGCAGACTAGCTTTCCGCCAGCGGCTACACCCGCGTGTTTAGTGGGATAAACAGTAGCTTATATTGATAATTCGGGTTATTGCGTGAAGAGTAATAAACATGACCCTTGCTTGGTTAGTTTTTAACCGACTTCAAAATCGAAAAGGAGGAGGTTATGTGTTCGACGGCGATGTATATTTTTTATGTACGTTCACAGATTTATCCGCGAATTAATGGACCGATTTTCAGTATTTTCATGAAATACATGAAACACGGGTTTTAGTCATGAAAAATTAAACTAATATGAAAGAAAAATAAAGAAAATGAACTAATAGTACATATGACCTAATCTATCCTTTATTTATTATGGAATAAGTACCAACACTTGAGGTGTGTTAGATTGTTTTGATCACACAAAATGTTGCATTTTGTAATTGACTGTAATTTACGCAGACGAAATCGCGCTGAAACATACAGTTTGATAGAAATTTTTCAAAAGTTCACTATTGGAAAAGAAATCCACAGATATCTGGGTATATATATTTTAGTTAGTGGTTACTTCCTGTAACTTAAAGAATTTTATAATCGGTCCAATAGTTTCGGAGCCTATCCAATGCAAACAAACAAACAATCTAAATCTTTCTTCTTTATAATAAGAGTATAGTATTGGAAAAAAAATGTCGAGCAAATAAACAAAATCACCGTTTTGTTTATTTATTTAAATTAATAAGAACCGTAACGTAACACGTAGTGAAAGCACTATGTTGACATTTTTGTAAATATGGATATTGAATATTTTTAGTGTTAAGTTACTTATTATATATATAATAAATAGAACCGATTTCAAACTTGAAAAAAAATATAAAAAACCGCCTTTGGAACAAACAACTAAATGAAAAAGTTAGAACAAGAAAAAAAAAATACAACATGAAATTGAATAATAAGTCAAATCATTCTCTCTTCGTGCATGCCTCTGACTGCACGTTTCGTATGATGTTGCATATATTTTTTCACGCATTTTATTCATGTATTTTTAGTTAGACAAATTACCAGGTTGGTGAAGAAAGTGAAAGGACAAAGTCCATATTTTTAACTTATCACTGTATTATTTTTATTAGTATTTCATAGGTAAATGACAATCATAACATACCTTTTTGGAATCCTTGTATTAAGCCCTCTAATTTGATACTCATATTGTAATATTGCATCACAGAACATAGAGAGAGTATTGCATATTGTAATATTGCATATTGTAATCAAAAGAAAATCATAAAATATAATGGCGTCGCACAGCTGCCATATTTGACTTTTTTAACTTTAGGTACCTACTTATCTAAGAACATTTGGAATCTAACAATATCTCAATTATCTAAATCCGTGAACGGTTCTGGAGATATGAGGTAATAAAGAATATTACATACATACATAACCCTTCCTTTCTAGTCGGATAATAATACTTATCTCAAAAGCAACTGCATCAAGAAAACTGCTATATAAGTCGGGCGCCCATCATTGAATTAATACCCTACAGAAAACCTGCGACCGACTTTGGGTAACTGTCTGCTAATCTCTTATAACATAATGTGATGAGGGACAAGGAGAGTCCCTCATCACATATTATCTGTCTACTAGTGGACGCCCGCGACTTCGTCCGCGTGGAAGTCGGTATCCCGTGGGAGTGAGAAGTTTTCCCAGTAAAAAGTACCCTATGTGTTATTCTGATGTATAACCTATATTGCTGTAAAGTTTTATCCAAATCCGTCCAGTAGTTTTTTCGTGAAAGAGTAACAAACATCCATACATCCATACTTACAAACTTTCGCCTTTATAATATTAATAGGATTACGCTCTCACGTCTAAACTAATAAATTGAGTTGTCTTGAGATAGGACATAGGTAAAAACATGTTTTCGTTAAATTTCTGTTCCAAATCTCATCTCCGAATGTATTATCCGAATACATCACTTGACTTTCCTAATACAAAATTACTGTTTTTACGTTTCTAAGTACTAATTATAAATACTTAACGCAGTATTTTTAAGGAATGTCATCATCATCAGCTCTTTTACGTCCCCACTGCAGGGGCTCCTGCCTTCTTTAGATCATATAACCCTCCGCCGGCCCAATGCGGATTGGCATTTGACTTCTATTCATCAACACATTTCCGTCAAATCATGGTAACTTTTTTTTTATTCTAGATACGCAAGCACTAATTACGTAAAAAAAGAAATTTCAATATAATTCGTAGATACATATGCTATTTTTACATGTTTACATTCTTGATCATTTCACCAGAAGCGGTATATGGCGGTGCAACTACAACATTTGTGTCTGAGGCATGGATATTGTTAGCAAACTGGCATCACTTTTTCATGGATAAAGTATGATCGTTTCCTTTTAAATAACTTAAAATCTACCAAAATTCCTTTCTCAACTTCCATGTCCTTCTTACTTATTATATCGTATATAACCTTGTTTATTAACTCTAGTAATTATTATTATATTTAATGATATAATATTTTCCTATCACCCTACTTGTTATACTTATAATGATATTATTATATTACATCACTGACCTTATCTATTATCTGACCTTTATTCAAAAGTAAGTAACAGGTATGTCGATGCTAAATGCACAAGCCATTAAAAAAAATAATGTAAAACGTTAAAACTTTTATAGGGATGGAGGTTTATCAAAATATCGATATATCATGTTTGACATAAATCGATTCAAGATAAAATCGATATAGACTTTACAAAGTCGATATATTTTGGAACAGCAACTTGGACAACCTACTTTCGTGAAGCATTTTCCTACCACGTGTAAATAAGCGTTCAGAAGGTACACTCGGGGCCACAATGGCAAAATATCTCATTTCCATTTTAAATAGATTTGGAGTTACCTGTTTTTATTAAATTAAACACAAATAATAATAATAAAAACTTCTACAAAAACAAATCAGGTAATAGAATTTTTCCTGATTGCGAGGGGAACACTGAGAAGCCTTTGATAAATGTAACTATATCAATTGTGAAGATCAGTTATTGGATATTCTTCTTCTATTTACGGGCGTCTTCGCAAGTCGACGTCAGAATTGCGCCCATTTTTCGTACTGAGGGTGTGTGGCCAGGAGTTATTCCAGTCATCGCAGCTCTGCCAAAAACGCCTTCATGTCTGTGATGGCCTCCTAGAGGTTACCCGGCGAGACGAGGTACTTTGCCCTGTAGTTGGCCTCTCCATTGTACTCCAGCGGGAATTTCTTCTGTCTCCATATATCCTCTGCACAAGAGGTGCACAAGTGATACAAAAATTAAAAGGTGCCTTTTAAAGTTGCCATGACCATTAATAGCACCTGTTCAGGCATCTTTTGATATTTAGGTTTATCGTTTTAGTTAATAAATACAGCAAATTCTGTCAAATGATTTAAATCAAATAATTTAACCTTTGCAGTAAGAAAAATATCTTTTGTTACATGTCCTAAATCATTACTATTTTTTTTTCCTTTTCCACCGATTTCAATATACCACGGTAAAATTACAATGTTTAAAGAGTTTAAACCACAACAGCACTTGTTAAAAGACGCAAATATGGTTTACTTAGTTGTAGAAGGGCTTTGGAGAGTCGAGCGTCGTGGCAGTGCGAGTTTGGTCTGCCTGCAAGTCACCAAATACTGTTGATTTAATTTTCTCGAGTGTTCACGTATCGGGACCCATCGGTGTTGCGTCTGATTCTCTGCGTGCCAGTTCACCAGCTGCGTCATCTCCACGTGATCCACTGTATCCTTTTATCCATTGGATAGTAATTATATTCTGTGATCCTACCATGTTTAGAACCTGGTGACACTCATATAGAAGACTCGAAATGACGGAGGGTGTCTTTGAAAATCATTACTGTCCATAAAATATATCTTGTGTTTTTTGTTAAAGATGAAGGCGGGTTCGATTCTATCACACACCGCCTCAACTAGCGGGGTGTTAAGTCATTTCTTCAATAAGCTAATCTGAATCCATATCTCGATCTCAAACTCGATCTCAATCTCAATTAAAAACTTTTGCAGTTAGTTCATAGAGGTAGACTGAGTAGTTTTTGGCCACCATGCAATGGCACCATAACTTACCATCGGTCGTGTTACAGTGTGGTGGAGCCACTTGAATAGTTTGAACGTGTCCTGGGGACCGAATTCCGTCATTTTGTGGCATCTGCTCCGCGTCATTTTGTGGCAATGCCCTTCATCCATTTTTTGACGTTTGATGTTCCAGTTTAGTTTATGTCAAGAATTATGCCTTTGTACTTTACTGGTACAGTTGTAGTGTAGTGCCAAATAACTTCAGTAGGCGAAACGTGCCTGCATTGTGTCTGTTGTAAACATGCATTTTGCAGGATTCACAGCCAGGTCATATTTTTCTCACCAGCGTTCGACTTGCTTCAAGGCAGCTTGCATGGTGCTCGAGGCAGCTTGCAAGGTTATACTTGCGTGGGTGCCTAGAGTTAATATTCACACCCTATAATCGGTCATTGACTCATAGATCATTGATTCGTTCCACAGTAGTGGCGAGAGTATCCCAATGAACCGATAACCCGAACTATTGTTGGATGTTAAAATTCGAACAACCAATATGTATTTATTCTTTGAAGTATTTCGATATTAGGATTCAAAAAGGGTGGTATTATATTAATATCAATATGTGGATATTGATTCTCATAGTTATCGATATTTTTTATATCGTTTTTTTCGATAGATCGTATCCCAATCTGTTGTATCAAGTCATGTTATGTCAATGTCAGTTAGATTGTATTTTTGTCGATCAGACATTTATCGCTGAGGTGTATTTGTTATTCAAAGAAAATGTTATTTATTATCGGTAGTGGGTAAAAACTTGTAATATATGAACTCTTAGATTAATTATATGAACTAGGAGTTGGCTTAACATAGAAAGTGTATGTCACTACCAGTGTATTATAATTTTGAATTAATTCTCTAGCCTCTAAAAAAATATTCTTAATAAATATTAATTAGATGCATACATGAGTAATAATCTCATTATTGCCAAAAAATGGATGAAGGGAATTCAATTATTTATGGACTCGAACACCAGGTACAACGTAATTTTATAACTATCTTTGTTCTAATATTATGTGAAGGTGTAACATACTACGTCAAGTTAGATTGTTTCAACGACTTATTGTATTTGTGGCACAGATTTAAATTTAACATGACTGTCTAGATTTTCGTTATTTCTCATTTACCAACTCATCAGAACACAATGAAATCCTCAGTAGCATCCAAGAAAATGAAGCACATAATTTTCAGTTGTTAAAATTTTCATATTCAATGGCTCATGATGTTAGTAACATTTGTAAATTTAAGTAATTGCGAATGTTCAAGAATTATTTGATATCCTGAATTTTCACAAACCATCATAAAGAACATCATCCCAAGTAACAGAAGTCTGCCTACTGCGGTGGTGTGTAGTGCAATGTGCGGCCATCTGTATGTACTATCCAAAAGATTTAAACTTGTTTATTGCTTTAAAGCTGTTTTATTTTATAAGTGAACAATTTCTCTTTCTATATTCATTGTTTGTTTTATTTCCTGTTTTACTTGTATTTGCTTAACACACTATGAGTGGTGTAATAAGACTGATTAAATATATAACAACTAGACACAGGTTAAATCATAAAAGAGTCATAATGAAGAAATTGAATTGATGAACTTTTACTCACATGGAACTATATATGTATATATATTCAGTTCAGGAGATAAATAAAAACTGGCCAAATGCTAGTTAGGCTTGCACACTAAGGATTCTGTACCTAATAAAAATGCAAAAAAAAATTACTGTATTAGACCCCCCTTAGATATTTCTTTTTGTTTGTAATATTTGTTGTTATAGTGGCAAAAGAAATATGTTATCTGTGAAAATTTCAACTGGCTAGCTTACACAGTACATGAGATACAACCAGGTGATAGACAGCATTTTTAGTTGGACTTTCACCCTTTGGATATGAAATTCTAATAACACTAAATTAAGTTAGTATATCGCATGTTGAGAACGATAGTGACACAATGCAAAAAATGCGATTTTGAGAAATGAGCATTTAAAGTTCAAGAAATTGTAATCGGCCCCTCTAAACAACGTATCGTCACTATGCCACCTAGCAGTTTCTACGCAAGCTACGTTCAAGGGGATCTTTGCATTTTAAAGTTTATAGGTAACAAAGAAAAATGTTACCAAAAGTAAAAAATACGTCGTTTTTGATTAGTTACATTGTCATTCTCAACATGCGATATTTATTAGTTACATAAAGAAATTAGTTTTTTTTTTATTGTTGTTAATATAAGTATTATGTAAATTTTCCTTATGATAAATAATAGAGTATTACGACAATGTCATAACTTACAGACAAGGGCTTTGTCACCACAATATGGGGAAAGTGATGCAATTCGATTTCTCATCGGCACACAAAGTCTGAAGCCTCAAACTAATCAAGTACATGTTGTCGAATTAGAAGAAGACACTGGGGCTTTACACACAAAGGTAATGTTCAGGTTATCATATGTTGTTACTTGAATTTCATCAAACTATAGTAATACTACATTTTGTTTTTAAACTGGCTTTTTGAAAGTTAGGATTGGCAACCTTATTTTTTATACCAAGGAAAATGCTTTACATACTGTCTCCATCTAAACTAGCGTTTAAAGTATGTGAGTCTCTCCTCCACTAACGCACAACCCTAGCTAAGTATTATGTCTGGCCTTTATACTATCTTGAAACAGGAAATAATGTAGCTAAGTAAAAATTAAAGCCAATAAAAGATTGCGTTTTTAACAGGTTTTTAAGCATGATATCGGTGAAATATGGCACTTGCGTTGCTCACCTCATGACGTAGCGACCTTGGTGACCACACACAACGCGTATGATCCCAACACCTCACAGTGCACTATGGGAGTGTCCATCTTTAAGCTGCCTACTGTTGAAGTAAGAACTATAATCCATATTCTTCTTCTTTGTCAGTTTCAAAGATTCATTGTATTAACTAAAAATCTTACTACTGTTTATGGCTTCGCTTGATAACTTAGACTAAAAGCAAAATATTGTAGTTTCAACATAAAGTCGACAAAAGGACAAAGGCTATTTATTATAAAAAAAAAAAAATCTTATTTATTAGGTGCATCCTTAACAAATTTTTTTTTACTTACTATTTTAGGTGATTCCAAAAGAATTGGATGATCTCAGTGCGATTCAAGGAAGAAATCCAGAGAATATGGAACATTTGAAAACTATAACACCTGAGGTGAGTAATGACACGTTTCTATAATTATTATGTTGTTTGTCTGTATTTTCTTCTCATGATGTACTCTTAACTTATATATTTAGCAATGTACTAAACACTCAAATGTGCTGGCCTCCGAATAAATACTGCTTTATGATTCCAGACTGCATTTCCATTCACTTGTTGACAAATTAATCCCTTTCTTATGTAAACACACTCACTTACAGGTTGAACACTTGAAGCCAAAACTCAATTTTACTCAATGGACATAAAAGATGTCTCACAAGGTTAACTTTTGGGACCAAATGTTTGTTATTAAACTTATCTAAAAATCAAAACAATGAGGTTAGGGAAAAAGTCTTTTTGCATATAGTTTGCATAAACTTGTAAAAAAATCTTACTGGTTATACCATTTGCATCTGGCTGATTTCGGTATCTTTAAAAAGTTTAAATTTTAAAGAAGATAACTCCGAATTCAAATTAGGAAAATGTATGATTTTCATTTGTTTTTCTTACTTTCAAAATACCTATTCACGTATTATTACAAAAAAGGTAAAAGTGCAACGCAAGTCGCAAAAAAATTTGTGACATTAATGTATCTATTGCAGTTTCTGTGAGAGTAGCACAAATTTAGTTTAAGCGTTTTCATTTCGAAAATTTTGACTTCAAAGATGAACCGTGTACTCATTTGTAACGTTTAGGGGGTAATGAAACCGAACCATTTTAGGATAAGCTGATAACTTGTGATGGAAAGTTGATCACGTACGAGAAGAACGTGCGAAAAAGGCCGTGGTCAAAGGTTGAGAGAAAGCGGCTAGAATTAATCAATAGAAAAGGTGTGGTTTTTCACTTTTTTTGCCACTCAGCAAAAATTAAGAGAATTTGGCTGGAAGGTGTTAGTGCATCCGCCGTATAGTCCTGACCTTGCACCTTCAGATTTTCACCTGTTTCTGTTTCTTCAGAAATCTTTAAGCAGTGTCAGGTTAACATCACGCGAGGACCGCCAAAATCACTGGTCGCGGTTTTTTTGATCAGAAAACCCATAATATCTATAGCAATGGGATCATGTCCCTGCCTACAAGATGGCAAAAAGTTATCGTACAAAATGGTACCTACATACTTTAGTTAAATATAAATAAACTTTATTAAAAAATGATTTGAATGTTCGTATAAAATGCGAAGATACTTTTTCCCAACCTCTTATATGCATACTGGGAATAAAGCAATTAAGATGTTGAACGCTTTGTGTTAGTTTAAAGTTTATGTTATGAATACTTTTAAGCACTCTCATATGGTATCAAATAAAAGGGTAATCAAATAAATAAAATAATGATGAGAACTAAAAATTATAAAAAAAAAATATTTCGAAAAGTTTTTATTTATACTCATTAAAAAGTTTGAAGGAAATCTCATCCTTCATTTTTAATACATTAAATTATATTACATGTATAAAAACATGTCACAATTATTTCATTACGAATAAAAAATGAAACTTATCGCATATCAATCCTCCTTTGTTTGTCAGGGATAGGATATGAAGTGGACGGTTCATTGAACGATTGTCTCTTTCTACATCTTCTGGTTTCACTTGGAAGTCTAAAACAAAAGAGCAATAATGAAACAAAATAATATTGCTGTAGATGAAGGTTGTTTAAAACATGAGGCCAGCTACTTTGTCAAGTCGAGTAAATCATCTTGTATGACATGGAATATTATGTTTCTATTGGACGTCATTGGATTTGCACTAGTGTGTTAATTTTATATTTTGAAAGAAAGAAACTTATTTATTCAGTGACCTGAATACAAAAAAAAAACAAAGACAAAAAGGATATAATACTATGACACTGAAAAGGCAACCACTCAGCATGTGTCGGATGTCTTAGACAGTCCGACGCTGATCTTCCGTGTATGTATAACAATGGTAATGGCAGGGTTTAGGGTGAATAATTATAATTGATTATACATGGCACGGATATAATTATAATGACAAATTCAATATTAAACAATGGTTACTAAAGTAACCTTTGAATTCCCTATGCAAACTTCCCACTCCTGTTATATATAGCCTCGTATAATATAGTTAACGATGTAGCTTCCCGTAGGGTAAATTAATTTTTAATAGTTGCAGTAGTTTTGGAGTCTATTCGTTGTAATCAAAAACAAAAAGTCTGCTCTATCGATATAATCAGTTATTAAAAAAAATATTGTGCTATGATTTTTTGTAATATCAATTTAACTGCCTACTTACATGCACAGATTTTCGTCGACTTCCACCTCGGGCTCTGTGCTTCTTTCAATTATATCCATGGTATTATTAAAAAATTCTTCTTGTACATCTTCATCGTTCAATATTTCCAATAAATCTGCTTCTTCTAATGTTTGTGTGTCATAAAAATTACTGTCAATGTCCTCTTCAAAATTCGAGACTGCAAAGTGATCGTCTACAAAGCGCAGATCTTCTATGGCCATTTTGAGTATGATATTCCTAAATGCTGTGAGTGTGCTTTTATAAATATCAAGGGACACTTAATGACCCATTTCGCTAACTATAATGAATGTTATTGTGTAACTAATGACCCAAGTATTTGTTTGTGAAACTGGTCAAGTGAGATTTCAAATCAGGCACAATTCCGTAATAATATTTAAAAAAGAAAAATATTGTAGAGGTTATATGATATTATTTTTTCATATATATAAAAATATATTATTAGTTGTTTTCCCGCGACTTCGCGCATGTGAATTACAGGATATGTCAACTCCGTATGATGTAATTTTTTTTTAAATCGGCCCAGTGATTTCAAAGCCAAACAAACAAACGGTAAAATCTCACCCCTTTATAATATTAGTGTAGATATATAGCTTATAAGTTATCATTCTAGCCAGATGTCATGTTAATTCGTTTGAGTAGTATAAGTAGTTTTGGAATGTCAACTAGTAGTTTGGAATGTCAATCGATATACAAAATTAGCTATAAGGAACGCTAAAAATGCAAAATCTTAATTAATAATTAAACTTGTATTGCTACACTCTCGTGGTATTTTTAGGATTCCATGCCTAAGTGTTGTCGGAATTATCAATATCGGCGATCTTCACTGTACTACAGATTTTGACGTTTGATATTATATCGATAAACAGTTATTTCGTATTTCCTAAGCATTAATGACCATGAAAATGAACTTCAATTAGTGATTTTATCTATATTTAAATGGCAACTGGCTAGGGATTGGTGATTTATTAAAAATGTGTTATAGAATACCAAACCCGCGCGATTACCGCTCGCCCACATAGTTCTGTGAACGATATATTTCGGTAGTCCTCGAAAGTTGCCACAAATACAGAACTAGTGGCCGCCAGCGACTTCGTCCGCGTTTTACATTATTTCTTCGCTCCTTATAGTGCAGCGTGATGTTATATAGCCTAAAGACTTCCTCGATAAATGGTCTATTCAACACAAAAATAATTTTTCATTTCGAACTAGTAGTTCCTGAGATTAGGGCGTTCAAACAAACAAACTCTTCAGCTTTATAATATTAGTATAGATAAAGTGGCGCGACCGCCTCATTTTTGCAGTAATTAAAGAAATTATAGACAACGCACACCATGGCACAGACTATTGCATTGTGTTTTTTTAATTATTTTTATTGTATTTTATATTATTTATTGTGCACGTGATGTGTGTTGTCAAAATAAATTATATCTATTCTATTCTAAATTTGTCGAAATATCGATACGGAACCATCGGTGTATAATTTCGACTCACACTTGGCCGGTTTCATTGTGAAATGTTTGAGTCATAGTTACTAAATGACATGAATTAAGAGTGACTTATGGATCATTAAGTGTTTCTTGATATTAGTAAAAGTACAATCACAGTAGGGGAGACCTAGGTGAGTTGTGACAGAGGTGAGTTGTGACAAGGAGGATTTCTCTCTACCTATTATAGTAAGCGAGATGGCTTTAACGCTTGTATGTCGTTCTCGACACGCGCTACACGACTCAGTACCTGTCGACGGTGCATATGGCACAGTTGCGTAAATATATCGTCAGTGTACAAAAAATTGCGAAAAGTAAGTTTTTCTTCAAAATATTATTTGAATATATATCATATCTTAGTATATGTGCATTGATGTGTTATTTTTTCTTAAGTTATGTAGTTATTTAAGTCTCAATACGTGGCACTGATTTTTTGTATGCGCATCGTGTTTAGAAAATATGAATTATTATTCGGACCAAGACGTCATTTTGAACACCTAGGCGAGTTGTGACAGCCTGTCACAACTCTCCTATCTTACTCCATATTTCTGCTGGGCTATTTTTACAATTTTTTTTATTAACTTTAGATGTTTGTTGTTGTGTTAGTAGCTACTTAAGGTGTATAATGGCATACCGCATACTTATTTTATTTGAGAATGCCAAATAACTATACAGAGACTGAAAATCTAAGAATGTTAAGAAGCGTGTCTTAAGCGAAGAAAAAATAAAGAAACCTAAAAAACCAAAGAAGACTAATAAAAAGAATAGAACAAGTGATGAAGAAGATGCAGAAAATAATTGCTTCTATTTGGTTTGCCTTAAAGCCTATGCAGACAGCAGATCGAACGATCAGTGGGTCCAAAGCCTTGAATGCAAAGGCTAGGCACACGTAGATTGTACTGGGGACGAGCTGCATTACGTTTGGCATAATTGTGAATCTGATTAGATTAAGATTTTATACTAATTATAACAATAATATGATTGATCTCAAAGCGATACCATATTAAGTTAATGAAAATATTATAATTACTTGTTATGAGAATATTAATACTATGTTGTTTTAGTTGGTAGGTATTAAAAGATGATTAATCAAGTCAAATCAAATCAATCTTTATTGTTGATCGCAGGTTATATAAAGATATTGGATGCAAGGACTGAACAGTTACACCGTGATCTGCCTAAAAGGCATACAATATTAGTAGGTTAGTAATTGTCAACTAATCTAATCAATAACATGTTATGTCAAATATTCAATTAATTCATTAAGTATTTATACATTAACAAAGTACTGTCAGCTAGATAGTCGTTTACACTATAATATGCTTTAGCTACTAATAATTTACAAAGTTTTCTTTTAAAAACATTACAATTATCCAGATTACGTATTGTTTTCGGAATTTTATCAAAAATTTTTGGAGCCATACAAAAGATACTTTTGTTCAACACAGCTGTCTTAGAGGGTATCGTACACAATTTGTCTCGATGACGCAATCTCGTCTTATTTTCAAATAGTTGTTGATTCTGTTTGACAAAAATACCAACTTCGAATATATAGATTGATGGCAGGGTCATAATATTTAGTTTAATAAAATATGGCCTACAGGTATCCGTACTCTGTAAATGACATATGCTCCTAACACATTTTTTCTGGGCTCTAAAGGCAGTTACAGAATCAGTCGAATATCCCCAAAATATAATGCCGTATCGAACAGTTAAAACTACGTACGCGTGATAAGCTGTAAGGACCGTGCACTGATTCGCGATCCTACTAAGTTTGTACAGTGCACAAGAATACTGGGACAACTTTTTGCAAACATGTTCAGTGTGTGTTTTCCAAGTCAAATTTAATAGTCAAATTATATACGAGGGTCAAACTGAAAGTTCTTAGAACTGGCCACTTATAAACAATATAATAAAAAAATAATTCTAAAATTTGAAAATATAACTCTTTGCCAATATTACTGAGTATATATTTCATTCATTTGTCATTTGTTTTACGATTTGGCGGCAAATTGAAAATTGTCTGTGTCACGTCATCATGAATTTAACACGAGAAAATTTTCGTGCAATGATTTTTTATGACTTTCGATGTCATTTAAGTCAACAAGAAAGTTATGATAGACTACGATTGGCCTTTCACGATGAAGCCCCATCTCGTGCGACTGTTTACAACTGGTTTAATGAGTTTAAACGTGGTCGCACTAATCTCACTGATGATTTACGTGAGGGACGGCCTTCTACGGCGACGACTGAAGATAACATCTGTGTTGTGCGGCGTATGATAGAGACTGACAAAAGAGTGACCTATCAACAGATTCGGACAAGCTTAGGCATCGGTATGAGTCAAGTGCACAAAATCCTCCACGAACATTTAGCGGTCAGGAAGCTTTGCGCCCGGTGGATACCTCATAATTTGACTGAGGCTCAAAAACTCCATCGTGTGGATTGGTGTCGTAAAATGATTGAAAGATTTAACGGAGGTGACTCAAATGCTGTGTTCGACATACTAACAGGTGACGAAAGCTGGATTTACTGTTATGATCCTAAAACCAAAAGACAATCTGCTCAGTGGGTGTTTCCTTTCGAGGAGTTGCCAACTAAAGTGAAGAGAGATCGAAGTGCGGGAAAAAAAATGGTGGCCTTGTTCTTTGGAAGGATAGGTCATTTTGCAACAATTGTGTTAGAGGATCAAAAAACAGTTTCTGCAGAATGGTACACTACCAATTGTTTGCCACTTGTCTTGGAAAAAGTTCGAGAGAAACGACCTCGCAGTAGGATCCTCCTTCACCACGACAACGCCTCGTCGCACACCGCCAAGCGAACGATCGACTATTTGGCGACATCAAACGTTGAATTACTGGGTCACCCGCCGTATAGCCCCGACCTCGCGCCTTGTGATTTTTATTTATTTCCAAAAATTAAAGAAAAACTTAAAGGAAAGCGGTTTATGAATGCTGAAGAAGCGGTGGCTGCGTATCGCGATGCCATTGAAGAGACCCCTAAGGACGAGTGGGCAAAGTGCTTTTCCCAGTGGTTCCATCGCATGCAGCGGTGTATTGACGTGAATGGACAATATTTTGAAAAGATATAATAAAATTAATAACTGGCTAATGTAATCAGTTTTTGATTTTCTAAGAACTTTCAGTTTGACCCTCGTAGTACTGATTTGATAAAAAAACGTGCTTGATTTATTTATGTCGTATATAATGGTATTTTTATATCTTATAGCTTAAATACAATGATGTCACAACTTACCTCGGTACCTGTCACAACTTACCTCGGTAGTAGGAGAGTTGTGACAAGGGGAGTAGACTTGAATATTGTTATTTTTTTCAGAAACTATTTTACTTTAATTAATTTCAGTGATGGTTTTGAAAACAGAAGGAATGGCGCTAAACTAATTCACATGAGTCATAACTGTGGAATGTTTCTTAAGCGAGATAGAGCCCCTTATGTAAAAATTGTCACAACTCTCCTAGGTCTCCCCTACATTGTTATTTTGAAATATGAAACTCAAAATGGCTATAGAATATCGGATTATAGACGACCACTCTACGGTCTCTTTTGAAGTAGTATTATACATTTACAAAATATAGCACAGGTATTTACAAGCCTATATAAAGGAACATATGTGAATATTGCACCATATTCCATCAAAATTACATATACCTATATAGGTCAAATTGAAAGCCTCTTTTATGTCGGTTAATGACGTAGGTACATATCTACTACTTAGGTAAACTGACGCCCTCCTTTTTTGAAGTTAGTTAAAAAGTCATCAATTTGAACTCCTGCATAAGTCGGTAAATTTTATACTCATTTAATAAGTAGCTTTAATTTTTATAGGTTATTTCTTCAAAACTACTGAACCGATTTTGATGAAATTTGTAGTGTACCCTAAGTTGAAAGCTAAGCAATCAAATAAAAAAAGGATCATTGCAATTCGACCTTTAGTTTGCTAGATATCCGTGGACAGATATACATACATTCATATATACACGTATTTAGAAGCATATACAGACCAACATATATGAATATTACGCCTTTCCAACGAAATTACATACATACATCTCAAATTGATAACCTCCTTTTTAAGTCGGTTAAAAAAAGAACTTATGATTTCAACTTATACTTACACATTAAGGGTATGTTCCGATATACACTGCGAGCACTGCGCAGTGGTCTTACTGCTGAAAAATCCGTTCCGTTATGGACTGCCAGTACACTGCTACAGTACCCTAGGGAAATTTATGACGTCATAAATTGCCGCCATATTTGTACGCAGTGCTTTTGATCACGTGATCAGTCGAAACAGAATCAGATAATGATAAGTTTCTAAATAAACAAAAAAAAATACTTACGTTTATTATAAGATGGATTTAATTGATAAATATTTTTTTTTTCCAATTTTATAATATTTACTTTTGAAAAGAGGGAATCTTTATATTTATATTCACCTTGCATTAACAAATTTGAAAATAGCGCCAAAAAATAGGATTAACAGTATACTGGACTGCGTTCCGTTTTAAAAAGTCACCAGTATAACTAGCTATAAAGGAACGGGCTTCCAGTATACTAAATTGACGTCATACTGTTCAGTGGTTGCAGTGTATATCGGAACATACCCTAAACCAGTGACCGACTATACCAGTGACGCCATCTATTTGTAGTTGTGGGAAACTACCTTTATTGTTTATCCATTCCACAATAATTATATTAAAACTATTGTAATTTAAAAACAACGGTATCTCAATTGAGAAATAAAAGTAAAGCACGTCTCAAACTTAACTTAAACGTCACATATACAGGTTTTCGTTTCTGATTTTAGTTTTTTTAATGATCAGTTGATAGCAGTTTGAGAAAACTAGGACTTTTTGCTTTGTCAAATATAAAAAAACTGAAGTAATTGAGAATATTTGAGATTGTACTTTCTCAATTCAGAATTTAGTATGCTAATTCATAAGCTTAGCAATGCTTAAAAGTTATAGAAAGTACTTCAGGAACAACAGAATGTAAATCGGGTAACTGCCATTCCTTTATTTGTTTATATAGAAGCCTGATGAAGAGATTAGGTGCGCGGAATGGCACCCGACAGATCGCAATCGTTTAGGTGTAGTGTACGAGGGGAGCGTGGCCGTGCATGACGTGAGCACGGGAGCCGTGGCCGCAGTCGCTGCACCAGACGGTCGAGCGAGGCTCAAACTCACCACCGGTAAATGGAATCCTCATCAGGGGCACACACAGGTCAATGGAAAAATTCTATAAAAAAAAAAGAAATGAAAAAATTATAATATCCGCAATTTGCTAATACCTTTGGTCGCCATTTTGGTGGCGTGATCTTTTCATATAGTCAATACTAGTAGTAGTACCGTGAACAAATAAACTAATAAAAACCAACCTTATCTGTATCTTTCTCGTCGTCAAAATTGTTAAATCTCTACAATTTAGTTAAGGCCTTAATTCTTTATAGGTACAAGTTCAGTACTAACTGCGGAAATTTTGACATTTTATTATTAATTGTAGTTTTTAATCCTTTTAATTTATAATCTAATAGTTATTATGAAATTACAGTTCGCAGTCTTACAAGATATGCATATAAAATGTTTCGACACACGTATGGATTGCACAAAACCATCTTGGAGCATAGACAATGCACATAAACAACTGGCCAGAGATCTAGACTTCAACCCAAATAGGTATTTAGAAAAGAACAGTATATTATTATTTTTGATGTCACGCTACAATCGCATTCTTTTCTAAATATATACGGTTCTTATTATTGATGAATAATGGTTAAAAAATTCACATTGTCTCTGGCACTCTCTCGCAATCCGGACGACTGCTCTAACCTCTGAGCTACTCAGGACCTAACAGGACTATAGAATTTCCCAAGCGTTTGTAACTTTTTCGATACTATTACTATTTTCATCAATGTTCATTAATTGCAAAAGGTCGTGGATTCGAGTCCCATCTTAGAGTGCCAGAGACATGGATTTGCTAAGCGTTTTTCTTCAATAATAAGAACCGTATATATTTAGAAAAGAGTACGGTTGTAGCGTCACAACTGTAAATATATTGACATAAATTTGATATTTTTAAACTGAATATAGAATTGCATAAACTAAGATAAAACTATTTTGGTTCACCCTGCTTGCGTTAATTTAAGTGAAGCGAATGAAAGTTAAATAAAGTAAATGTCGACCAATCAGAATGATTCAAGTACCACAGCAACAGCCCTTGCTGAGTTTGCCGGTTCTTCTCAGTACAAGGTCTCCTGCCGTTGTTTTGCGAACCGATGGCGTAGTTTTCGACTTTCACAAGTGCTCTATAAAAGCCTAAACTGAATAAATAAATTTTGATTTTGATCTTATGGAATACTGAACCGGTCATGAAAATTCTACAGGCGGGTTTATAATTTACGCAGGCGAAATGGCGGGAAAACAGCTCCTGAAATAATGTAACATTTTTAGACAATTTCATTTGGCGAGTGCTGGTGATGACGCGGCACTCAATATTTGGGACTACAGGAACGGGAGGGAACCGATATTCAGCAGGACTGATCACTCGCATTGGTGAGTACATGTACAGTGATAATTTTAAAACACCAAAAACATCGCGCCCATTGATTTTATGTTATAGATTGATAATGGAATGTTTAGGACGATACCGGCAGTGGCATAACTATAGGGTGGCAAGTTGGCAAAATGCCACGGGCCTCCTGCTGGAAGGGGCCCCCGATCACAGGAGATAAATATAGAATATCCGATGAATTTACCACGGGCCTCTAACGGTATAGTTATGCCACTGGATACAAGAACCTTGAATTGGTAATAACCTTTCGTGGCACAAGTGAAGTGAGTTTCGAAGTGACATAGGAATAGAATATCCGAGACACATGAATCAATCAATCTTATTTGTATTTTTTACAGAATAGCCTAGTTGACAACTTTTTTTTTATTCATAAATAAATAGTCCATTATCTTTTAAAAAATAATGTCGAAGTAACAGCATTTGTGCGTTTAATAGTTTCGGAGATACGATGCTGTGTTTGTGGAACTGCTGCTAGCCGGCCAAAAACGCTCCCTACAAATTTAATGCACTCAGTGACGTCACACGGTGCCGCAGTTGAGAAAAACCTTTGCGCGTCTGGGCAATTATTGTAATATCTTTGTTATTTGTGCGTTTATGTGTATAGCTGTTATAATGAAAGTTGTAATATTTTATGTATTTCAGCAAATTTTTGTAGTAGATTTTCTCTACCTTTTTCAAGGTTTCAAAGCGTACTTTTTTGCAAATCGGTGGCTTAAAATTTATTTCGTAAAATATTTATAAGTTAAAAATGGTTCATATTTTCCGAAGATGTAACAAAATCCTGTATTTTCACTTGTAGGACACACGCCTATTATTAGTTGATATATTTACTTGTACGGTTATATCAGGGTATGGACGGTCCGCTACAACACGTATCATGAGCAGTTATTATTGACGGGCAGTTCAGATGCGCGCGCGCTCCTCACCGCCGCCGCCACCATCTGCCAGGACGAGGATAACACGTCACCGCCGCAAGTGTACATATGTTGTTATTTATTTATCTTCTAACTGACTACAACCACACCTTTTAGCAAGGACACTGAACAGAAAGAATTTCGTATTGCGAAATATACACCTATTGCGCTCGCACAGTAACGGTCGGTTTCAATAACTTACTAAATCCGTAACTGGAGATTTGACAGTATATCTGTCACTGTCTTTTACATTGTAAACAACAAAGACAGGTATACTTTAAATCTCCAGTTACGGATATAGTAAGTTATTGAAACCGGCAGTAAGTGAATCTAAAATGTTTACGATAGTTTGGCATAAATGATGTGCTAAGTTTAAGTTACATATGACCTTTCCTTGTTTCTATTATTTGCTATTCATTTAAGCGCTCGTAATTACAAATGTCCTATAATCGATTGTCTTTGTGTCGCATGATCTGACAAAGAAACTATCAAACATCGCGCTTTACTTCAGTGTGAAACTTTTTTTTTTAATTATATGCGCCTCCGAGATTTTACGTAAAATTAGTTACTTATTGTGTATTTTTAGTTTTTTTTCTACACGATACTTTCGGTAGATCTATCATACTGTATTTTATCGATATCGATAAAAAATATCAGGTTGAGTCTTGATCTAAAACTTATTTCCTTTGATATAAACTTTGTTATCATATTTTGAATTCACAAATTTGTCAGTCCTGTTGGGTTCTGGCTAGCTCAGTGGTTAGAGCAGTCGCGTAAATTGTGAGTATCTGCGGATGGTGGATTTTATAAACATTTTTCATTAAAAAGAATATAAACTTTGTTTTTCAGGTTAGAAGATGGTGTGCTCCAATCGTATGAACAGCACGAGGACAGTGTGTATTGCTGCGAGTGGAGCGCCTCTGAGCCCTGGACCTTCGCCTCGTTGAGTTACGATGCAAGACTCGTATTGTCACGTGTACCCAGACACTTCAAATACAAGATACTGCTCTAGCTACATTACAACATTGAAGCCTAAATCACAGTATATTACAACCACCAGTTGCTCAAATTTATCTAAACTGGCACGATTACTGTACACCAATAGAATTGTTTTTTATTTATTCATGCTATTGACACACACATAAACATTAGCAAATTCTAAAAATAGTTGTATTATTCCCGCCCGCCAAAAAGTACCAATAGTATCCTCATATTTATATTTCATTACAATTTTTTAAGATCAGATTATTAATATCGAATTTATCGACATTCCAACAACTCTAGATAGAAAAGCTATAAGCATTAAAAGTTATGTATATTTAAAATTTGTCAACAATTATTTAGAAATATTTTTTTTTATTTGTAGTTTTATTTTTATTTCACAAATAATGAATAATAAAACAAAATTATTATTGAAACATAAATATATTTATTGTATAACTAGAACCTTTCTGCTACTCTGTTGGCGACATTTCTTAAGTTACCATAGACTTTAGAAGGTGGTGATCCCATAATAAGGTTACATATAGCTCTCCTTGCCAATGCAATATTTTGATAACTGCCTAGGATATGAATCTTCGAGTCTGCCAAGACTATTCTAGTCTTTGTAACATTCTCTATTGTGAATTTCGTTCTTCCAGCTTTGCCTGCAAGTCGACCAATAGCACGACCCATATGATCACCTTGTAAATTTTTTACATCCTTTATTTCAAATGATTCTACAAACAAGTCATCAAGTCTGAGTAAGGCCAAGGCGTCTTCAACATCAAAACCATAGATGAAAGCCTGGAAAACAAAAAATAATATAATTCTCTTAATAACTAAGTACTATAATATTAATTTTTTCCAACATTATACTATCCAAAAATCTTTGTGTCTATGCATAATATAGCACATTATATTTGACAGCAAAAAATATTCAGGACTTAATAAAGGCAGCCATAGTTTTGTATAAACATTTGTCTTTATTTAAGCCTATATGCACATTAGTCACTAAATTTCTTCCTAAATGATGGTTGAACATTCATGACTTATTGTGTGCATTTAAAAGAGAAGATTAAGACAATTGGACTCTGTAAGCAGTTAGTGACTATTTGTATATGTTGCAGTAAGATAATAAAGCCATAACATACAAGGATGTACAAAAAAGTTTAGATGGTGTATCAATATTGATAATAAAAGATATCATTTCATACATAAGTACAACGCTTACTTTTTTATTTTAATAGAAATAATTAATGTCATTGAACATGGCCATTTTTTCATGCATCATGTTCTACAACTATGCATAAAGCAAATATAATAATATAGCAGAAGATAACTACACTACATAGTTTTATTGCTATCTTAATGTCACAATCTAGTTAGCATTTGCTTATCTAACTAAAATCTAGTTAATAAATAGTTTAAATATATGATATAACAAATATCAAAACCTTGAAACTTTCTTTTTAATATAAAAAAAAATTCAGAGAGAAAAGAACTATTTCATCAATAACCTGAAAGCTACTATGTTAAATGTACAACACCAACCACATCCTAAGTTATAATTATATCTCAAAGATGACTGTGGAATGGATATGTATCATAAATCAAATAAAGTAATAAATACAAATTCCAAACATTTCATTACCTTTACGAAATCTGCTGCTTTCTGTAAATTGGCAATATCTTTTGTCTCAGGGCCAACTTTAATCTCTACATTCCGAGTCTTTGTGTTGAATCTGACCTGTAGCAGTAGATGTTCCACAATGGGTGTGAATATTTTCAGCCAGTTTTCTTTTAAAGGTGTATATCTAGAAATTTAATGAAAATATTATATGTCAATATTGCTAATACTTAGCTTCATCTTATGCTGATGTTGGTTATATATAAAGCAAAATTTGTGGGAAAAAAATATACTGTATATATGTGACATGTTTTCTAAGAAATTCTTAATCTATATTGTTGTAAAAACAAGAAAGACAGGTGACGAGGATTTTTTATCTTCCTAATAATAGTAAATGAGGTTAGTTTACCTGTGTGCTGGCACTGCCACTTTTCTCATGTTCACTTTAGCTTCATTCGGTTCGGTGTTCTTTTTAACTTTCTTGGGTCTAGAGCGTGAGTGTTTAACTTTCCCTTGAATGCCATTATGTTCTTCTATTTCCATTCCATCGCCAGATTCAGACACCGCTCTTCTTTTAATATTTTTTAACTTCACCGCATTTTTTGGCGGTAGAAATTCGTCCACATTGATATTTTCTGTTTCCATAACTTATTCACTGTAAATAAAATACTATTTAAATGTAGATATTTCCTTTTCTGTTACATAAATAAACACCACATGCTCCGCTCACATGAAAGAGAAAAAAAAGAACAATTGTCATTATTTGTTCCCGTGATTAGGGATGCAACGATATATCACACAACAGAAATCGATATACTAACGACCTAAAATACTGATTTCCAAGAATCCGCAAAAATACATAAGGAAACCTAATAACGAATGAAGTCCAAGTAAATATCAGTTGTCCAGATATAAACATCCAATGCTAATCTTCGCATGTGATGTTAATAAAAGGCTAACAGTATTGCGTTCAGGAATAATTATGAAAACCTGTTTTTTGCTTTGTTGTTTCTTAATAGATTTTTATTATTATTATTTTGTCTGTAGTTCTTTTTATAAAAAAATGTTAAATTTGACCCTAAAAAACCTTAAAGTATTTAAAATGGCAATGACATATTTTCCCATTATGCCCAATATCGTGTTTTCTTATCCTTTTATCAAAAGTCGAAGCTGATGTAACTAAAATCCATATCAGCCACTAATTATATGCAGGATTTCTTTAATTCGTTAATGATATAGATACCAAAAATATATAAATAAAGTTTTTATGAAAAGGCTTCAAAATATCGATATTTCGATAAAGACTTAAATTGTTATAGATATATCAAATACGTTTTATCGATATTCCTAATAAACTTTTATCCCTAATTGTCATGTCAATGTCAACGCATAGTTTCTGACGTCATATTTTTTATTTTTCGTTCAAAAGTATGCAGAGATGTGTAAGAATAAATGTTGCGTTCTCATTTATTTTTTCATAGGATATACAATTATCTGAACCAAAAGGCTTATTTTAGTTTATAAGAAATATTTGGAGAATGATGGTTCCTTATTTAAGTTGCTAATTTGCACTTAATCACTGCTTAAAAAAGTTAATTATTAATGGAAATTAAAAATAACTCATTCTTATAATTCTTGAACGCCATCGGTGTTATGTCACAATTTTGCAAAGTGAATTTGTTGTGAAGTGATTTTTAGAGGTATATAGTTCATTTATTTCACAGTTTCTTGTAAATTAATAGACGAAATCTAACATTAGTTCTGTTCTACAGGTATCTAACCAGGATACCTCGAGCCACCATGGCTACTCTTGTAAAGACGGCAGTGGTGAAAATCATTAGTCCAAGTCACGGTGGCAAGATAGCAGCCTGTACTTTCGTTCAAAACAGGAACATTGCGGGCAAAGCTCTCAGGGAATCCCTGCCGCCACCCCCACCTAAACCGGCACCGTTCGATTACGTGAATAAAGATTACACTTGGTTTCGTAGTTTATTCGACCGCACGACACACAGACTCGATGAGAATTCGAAGGTTGTGGTCGTCGAAGGCCCCGTGGCGGCCGGTAAAACACAATTCGCTGCTGCTTTAGCTGATGACCTAGGTATGAAGCATTTTCAAGAAGCAAACATGGATATTCATTATAAGAGACCAAACGGTTGTGATCTACGCATGTTTAACGACCAAATTCCCGAAGACACTAGAACCTTCGACCACGTTGACTTCAATTTAAATCCCAACCATCGTCTCGCTGCAAATTACCAGATTATGATGTACATTGCCCGTTACAATCAGTACATTGATGCATTAGCTCATTTGTTAAACACCGGTCAAGGTGTTGTGCTGGAAAGATCTCCATATTCTGATTTTGTATTTCTAGAAGCAATGTTTTCCCAAAAATACATTAGCAAAGCTGCTCGCTCTATATATTATGAGCTGAGGCACAATACAATTGAAGAACTCATGAGGCCTCACCTTGTGATATACTTGGATATGCCTGTTAAGTCTGTAAGTATTCAATAAGAGAAATCTTACCATACAATGACAAGTTAAAGATATACTAATTTTACAGAAAATCTCCAATATAATATGAATAATATAGAAAAAATATCTTTTAGTGGCTTTTTACCACTGAAATTTTGTAAATTGTAGCTTTTGGCTCTACAATCTCATAAGGTTGTTTACTCCTATGCTATAGACCCATGATTCCTAACTCCCCCACATTCCATAAGGTTGGATTTAACATAATCATATTTGCAGTGTATTATTTTCTAAATATGTTGAAGTGTGGTTTATATAGCTATAGTCCCAAAGGTCTAATGTTTCTGGGCTTTAAGAGTTCCACTAGACTCTTCATTGTCACTGATCTATGGTATAGTCTCAATAGCAATTATATTATAGGTATCAGAAGCGATCAAGAAGCGTAGCTGTGACTATGAGGTGAAGGGCAAAGCGTTGACTACTAAATACCTCACTGAACTCGAGACTCAGTACAAGACCAAGTATTTGCGTGATATATCCACTCATGCTGAGCTTCTAGTTTACGACTGGACTGGAGGTGGTGACGTTGAAGTGGTATGTCATAACACAATTAATAACAATATAGTTCGATCTTATTGTAATTTATTTCATATAATGAGATGTTAGCTTTACTTTAAAAGTATGACATACTTGTGCACCGCTTGTGCACATTTGTATTTATTTGCATGATTTTTCTAACAGTGATTATTCCAAATAGTCTTATAATTATCTTAGATTATATTTGCAACAAAGGCAGTGTCAGGTCCTACATTCATTGCATCTTAAATTATTATATCGACACTGGAAAGCAAACGTAGTAACCTCCAAAACCAAAATGGACATTTGGAGTGGAAAATCTATATATTTTCCAAAAAAAAACTTTTTTCCATATAAATTGACTTAGGAACATCTTATTTGTTACCATAGACGTTTATAGGAATTATTTATCAAAAAAAAAATAAAAGATTTTCTGCTCTGAAGAACACTTGGTTTTGCGGGTTACTACATGTTTGCTTTCCAGGGTCGATATAAGGTTTTTGATGATGAAATAGGCTTTCAGGTGTCAATTCAAAATATATTTGGTGTACGCCCCCTCTTCAATACAAATCTTTTTTGGCAGGTTGTTGAAGATATTGAACGCTTAGAATTCGACAAGTACAGGGAACGCGAGGATCCTAAAATGAAGGACTGGCGTCTACCCCGCGAGGTAGACTGGGCAGACCAGCGCATGATATACACCAACAGCAAGCACTTCCTCATGAACCTGTTCCTGATACCCAACACTAATGCACCGGAGCTGGTCACCAGTGCTGAAGACGCTTATGAAAGAGATAAGGTAATAAAAAATATTTTCAATGCTAGAAAAAAATACGCTATCTAACTTTTTTATTTTTTAACTAGCAAGAATAGAGATGATGACTGGGTAAAAAAAAATGCAATTCTATTTAGTCCGTCAGTCAGATAATAGAAAAATATTAGATACGTATTTTTTTTACTTCAAATTAACAAGAAATAGCTTAGATAACAGGCATTAAAGTTGAGGAGTGGGGGCTCGCTACGTCACAGTTGGGTAGAAAACGTACTCTAACGTGACGTCATGTGAAATTTCAACTCGATGAAACGCCGTAATTTTAATGAAAAAAATAAAAAAATACGTGTTTAATATTTTTTAACACTCTACCTGACGGATAAACAAACAAAAATTAGTCATCATCCCAATTATGTGATCTTACGCATGATGGTTATAATTATTGTGATTATCAAAAGCAACATTTCTGAAACTTATTTTGAATTTAACTGTGAACAAATTTAAGCTAAAACGTTTAGTACCTTTTGTAACAACCTATTATGCTGTCGACAATACATAATCCATTAGATAATACAAAACTTACCAAAAAACGCAATTTGATTATTTTTAAGTTCAACGCAATTGCAGAAATTTGACAATTATGTAGTGTGCTTATCTACACACAGCATTCAGGTTAACACAATATGTTAAAATTAATTTTGTTAAGCGTATCACAGACCGAGTGCACTAACCACTGCCAATGTGCTCCATCAATAACTAATATGTTTATTGATGTTTTTTACAGGTTATTTACGGACATCCCGCTTTCGAATACGAAGTCGGTTACACTTCCAAGGACTCTGGTATCTTGACAAAAAACAAGGTGCCGAAATATACTGAATATGTTTAATAGTTTCATTTATTGTCTGTAGAATGTGAATTATTTAATAAAAAAAATAAAAAAACAAATGTTACCTATCATTTATTTTACCAATTCCTGGCAACAATTTTTAAAATATATAAAGCAATCATAATTGTTTAGACTTGTTTTATTTGCTTTATAATTTAAATAAAAATCATTCAAACAAAATGAACAAATAAAATTGTGAAATCACATTGAAGAAAAAGTGGAATGAAAATATTAGGGGTTAAAGTATAATATTGCCGTTTTATTGTATTAGGTTTCTCGAATTGACATAGAATCTTCATGGTTTGAGGTTTTCGAAAGAAACTTTTCACATGGTTTCTATGATGTGTTTCTTTTAAAAATGTGAAACATTTGAATATCGACTTTCAATGATTTTTGCAGGCAACGAATGGAGCAAAAATGGACGTCATTTCCGTTCCTTTCAAATAACATATTAAAAAACTGAAATTTGAAATGTTTGAAACTTATATATAAATACGAATTTTAATGGACGTTTGAGCACCTGACGTAAATAGTAGTTCTGTCTTATAAGGTTGGCGACCCCTGACCACTTCTTTGAAAAATCATGAAAGCCGTGTGACTTCATTTATGGATGGCCCTTACAGATCGAGAATTGTCACATTACATTAGGTGTAAATACGAAATTCGGTTAAATATGAAACGTATTAATACAAATATAGTCATATCAGAGTGTTATAGAACAAAATTAAAACTCAGAAATTCATCAATGCATTTATTGTCTATATTGTAAAAAATCTTAATAAATATGTATAACAGAGCACCATTCCATATCATACAATAAACAAAATAACACTACTGTATACAGACTTTATTCTATTATACCTAATTGCGTACACCATTTAATTTTTAATCACCTGACATGATTAATATTTGTAATAATGAAATTACTACTATTTAAGAAAAAACTTTCATCTCTCAAAGATTCAGCATATCAGATTATCACAATATATCATTCCGCAGTCGATTTTGAACTATACCGTTATTATATTAAGGTTTATTATGTTTTACCGAGTGGAGAATTTTATCAGTTTTGTGTAATATGATCTGCTGTTGACTGTACAAAAGCTTTTCCTTCGTGTTAGTAAATCTTCTTGGGTAATTAACAATACTCTGATACATAATATTCCGAGTCTAAATAAAATTACTTAATTCCCTTTCGACATAGCTATGCAAACTGAATGTTAATAAAAAACTAAATTGCCATATAATATGATTATTAGAACTCGATTATCGTTGTACTGTTGTGGCTGGACGATATGTTACCACAATATGTCAAATATCTCCAGTTCACTTTGAACTCTAATCTCAAAGCATTTAAAATCAAGCAAAGGAATTCGACAGATTAGTATAATCTGACGTACTGACAACCTAAATTACAGAGATAAAAAAATATGCCAGTTTTGGTTGTTCATACTTTACTGAATTCAATTTGCATTGCTAAATTATGTTTTTTTATGGCAACTGCATATACAATAAAAATATATTCTATCACTAGTCAACTTCCCCAAACGGAAATCAAAAATTTATAGACGGAGGGCTCGTGGCAAAAATGAGCAAGACCTTTTAAAACCTTGACATTTTAGTATGTTGAAGTACAAAGGGAATACATCACTCAGTACCAAGTGCGGAGGTCAGGAGCTGGAACAGCTAGTGGTAGCGGCGCTTGCTGCTGAAATGCTGAATATATCTAAATATTCTTTTTTAATTAATTAATGACTAAAAATTTAGATGTAAATTAATTTACTAAGGACAGTTTCTGAATTAAAAAAGTACAAAATCTCAAATGATTATTCTCAGTAACTTATGTTTTTTACGTTTCACGTGGCAAAAAGTTGTAACAAGCTGCTATCAACTGATCATTAAAAAAAAACAGAAACGGAAAGCTATTTAAGTGAGGTTTGAAACGTGCTTAACTTTAAATTCTCAATTCAGAAACCGGCTGTAAGTGATGTATACAGTATTCTCGTAGTATTTCAACATATTGAAATACAAAAACTTTTGAAAGCCCTTGAAATTTTTTATCACTGTTCTTAGACTATTATAACCTTAGCACACACCCTAGCTAGCAGCAGATTGAGATTGACCATCGTGGACCAAATATTGATTTGAGACCCAACGTTGGGCCAACTCAGATTGTTATCATGCATGTTTCTACATTGTAGTGATATTAATGTAAAAGTTAAATATCTAAAATAATTTTAATGAGGAATGTTAATTAAATTAGGCAAAGAAAATACTGTAATGTAGAACCAGAAACCTTAATTCTGTATCTCCGAAAATAAAATTTCGTCTGATTTAGAAACGTAATTAATTCCGAAGAAACTTTTATTTTAACTTTTATTAACGTGACTAAAAATTAGACAACATTATGCCACTGACAATAGAGATGATGACTGGCTAAAAAAAACAGTCAAATAGTGGAAAAATATTAGATAGGTATTTTTTTTGCTTTTATAACAAGAAATGGCATAGATACTGGGCAAGTTGAGAAGATTAAAAAATAGCCGTTTAATATTCCTTAATAGTCCACCTGACCAAACAAAAATAAGTCATCATCCCAATTTTATATGACCTTAAGAGTAAATAAACGTTATAACACTATTCTAAAAAAATGCATTAATCAAACTATTATAACCTACAACAGCACATTAGATCACCGCGAAATTTCATTTTCTGGAATCAATTTTTAGGCAAACATATACACTCTTATTAATAAACACGGACTAAAGCCAGATTAACTTTTCTCCTAGTATTACGTCAGTAGTTTCCAATTATAGTATTAAAAAACTAAGAGTAAGGAATGAAAAAACTAATCTGACTTTAATAGTAAAAGTTACAACATGGTGCTGCCTAGTTTATCCAGCGATTAGGCAGGGCGTAGTGTACATAGAGTATAAAAAGTTATTGGTATTATATCATAGCTTGTTTTGATAGTTGCGCGCGTTTTTATTTGTATAAAAAAAGAATGGAAAGAGATTATTTTATCAATGTTTTAGAAGAAATAGATAATTTAAAGGAAATAAATAATATTTCAAACCTGCTAAAAATTTCTTATCACTATATAAAACATTCGTTAAAGAACATGTCATTTTGATTAATAAGGTTTTTCAAACCTATGGTAGATATTTGTCAGTTTCGGATAAACTATTGTGCTGATTAATATCTTTGTTACGTTTATGGAATAAATCTTATGATATTTCCTTTTTATTTCAAAATATCGAGCAGTCTGAATCATATGGCTATAGTTAATTTTAAAATACACAGTAAAAACAACTAATATATCTCACTGATGTACCTGCGCAGAAGGCTAAAGCGAAGCTTTTTTAGAAGCGCGACAAATGTCGACCAATCAGAATGATTCAAGTATCACGCCATCGAGCATTACACCAGTATCAACGAGCCTGACCCCCACCAAGATATATTATGAATATTAAAACAAGACTCATTTAGGTAACCAAACGTTCGTCGAAATCGTCCAATTAAACTAAGATTCACTATATTAGTTCGCATATACTGTAAAACAAATTAGTGCGATACCCGTTTACAATTTCTAAGTATTAAAAAACGGTACGAGTTGATTAAATATAATTATACTCTGATTTTTTAATTAGATGGACTAAACTAACAACTCAATTCACAGTTTTTTTCTTATAATTTTTTGTGTTGTAACACATAGCTCTATTTAATGGTTCATTAATCCGTTATGTGATATGACTCATTGTTTCTCTTTTATTCGTCAGACCTTTGAAAGTGATTTTAATGTCTTCATAAGTTGTTTTATTTATGTTCCTAAGAGAAATATTAACAGACAGATTTAGAGTTTTCTTAAAAAAAATAAACTTTAAAAAATTCATACTCAAATTTCATTTTGCGTTTTATCATTCATCAAAAAGTTCTGGTGTTTAAAAATGAAAGAAATCTAATTACATATAAGTTAAACTAATAAGTAATATATGAAATGTGAACGAACCATAATTCACGGCTCATTTCTATCACTCATATCACAACACTATTTTTTATTTGCGATAATTGTCAACCCAACAAATGTCTGTTTAGTCAATTTAACTAAAAATCACACTATAAATGATCAAATAATACCGCGTCCACACTCACGCCTAAACAAGCTCTCTCGCTTTAACTCTGGGCATAGCTACAAAAATGTTTTAATGATTTTATCAATAAGTATGATTATATTTCTATATAATGATTTTGTTCTGCAAATGGCAAGCGTGTGGACGCGGCATTAGAAATACGTTTACATTAAAACTTCCCTGTGTTTCAGAGATGAGCAAAATGTAATTTCGAAAACGATTAGAAAAGTGACATATAAGTACAGTTCTGTTGAAAAATTAAGACTAAAATTTATCGTAGCGAAAAATTTCAGATCATCAAGACCTAGATAACTATAGAGACCTAGTGAAATTTCAAAGATGTCTCTTTAAGACAAAATTTAATTTGATCATGTCAAAGGGAATTCTCAAATTCTATAAACAAAAAAAGGTTACAGAATTTAACTTATTACATTATAGTATACAGGAGTAGTATTATATTTATTTTAATGAAAACTCCATTTCATCAGGGTAAAATTTTGCCCATCTCTAACCTGTTTCTCTTTTTTTTTTAATAACTATATCTATTTATTATATTATTTTTTTCTTTATTTATATAATATTCATAGGCAAATTATTTTAAGTTAAATATTTCATATTAGTCTATAAGATATGGCGAGTCTAAAGCCCCGAGTCCCGCAGCCACGCCCCCTTCGTTAGCGTCCGCCAGTTTGGTCCTAAGCATGTGTCCCACTTGCTTATTATAAAATATCTTCTCTTTTGTACTGCGGAAGTGTAATAACGTACCTTTGATTATATAATCCAATAATATAATAAAAGAGGAAAGATATGATAACTTGTTGGTTTGCATCGAATAGGCTCCGAAACTACTGAACTGACACTCTGAGATGGGACTCGAGCCTATGGTCTTTCCCAATTTTCAGTACTTTTTATTTAGAAATATCGCATTCATTATTTTGTATTTTTATTTAGCAATTTTGCATACTGAAATATTTGAAATAAATATTTTTCAGTACAGCATTGTGAAAATTAATCAAATATAATTACTGAATCAATTTTAAAAATTCTTTCACCTATGTGAAGCTACATCATATGCGGTGAACATAGCGGGTTCGCCCGCGTGGTCCCTAGGAAACAGTTTATCATCATCATCATCATCATCATCAGCTATTTTACATCCCCACTGCAGGGGCTCAGACCATCTTTATTGATGGTTAATGAGGATAGGCCATGACCCTCCACGCTGGCCCAATGCGGATTGGAGGATATTCAGCCGGAATCAACGGCTTAACGTGCCACAGATAATAATTTTTTGGTCACCCATCCCGTGACCGACCCTTACGAAAGTTGCTTAACGACAAGGATCTCGGGCCGCGGCGCTTATCCATTACGCCACCGAGCTACTCAGTTCATGTGGATATCGATTCATATAATGACATGGATATAATAGCATCGACAAATTGAATAACGATGGTTACTATGGTAACGTTATAATTCCGTATACAAACTTGCACCCTCATTCGCGGATTTTCCGGATAAAATATAGCCTATGTTCACCGGATATGACAGCTTTCCGTAGATGAATGATTTTTTTTATCGTTCCGTTAATTTTGAAGCCCATTCGTTGCGAACAAACAAACAATCAAATCTTTACTCTTTATAAGTATAGATTACGAATTAATAAATAAATGGACATCATTAATTTGATATGAGTATAATATTTAAAGTTGATTACTGCCAATAACCTTAATGTGGGGACTTTATGGGCTGACAACTCACCCGATGATGACGCCGAAGATGCCCAGTTCCGACACGAGATCAGTGATAGGGGGCGGCACTGCAGCACCTGGCCGTACCACATACCCGGGAACCTACATAACGATGCATAAAATAGAGTTTTATAGTCTGTTGATAAAATACTCCTGTTTATCATAATTTAAAAAAACCAGCCAAGTGAGAGTCGGACTCGCGCACGAAGGATTCTGTACCGAAAACGAGAAAAAAAAACACGGGGGGGGGGGGGGTTTAAATATTGATTTTATTCTGGTTTTTAGTATTTGTAGTCTATCTTTCACGGTTCATGAGATACAGCCTGGTGACAGACTATCAGACAGTCAAGTCTTAGTAACAGGGTTTTCATTTTACTAAAAAGCAAAAAAAAACCGTATCTCGATAAAAAAAGTCTTAAAATTATAACGCTAACTACAGATTTCGAAGCGACGTCACACTATAGAGGATCGTGTTTAAAGTCACGTGATACACAAGACAACTAATATCAACTTTAAATTTAAATTTAACATAATGAAATGATCACGCGATTTTATGCCTCAATATTGAAATATCTGTTTATTTCAATGCAAATTTTAGATCGCAAATTAGTGACAAATTTTTCACTACCGTGATTTTTTTAAACCTCAGCAAACCACAAGAACCATTCATCAATTACACTCTTTATTTAATACTATCTTTTGCCCGCGACTTCGTCCGCGTGGTAAAGTTACTTTGAGCAGCATTACTAATGAATTTATTCATTATATCGTGTAAAATACCTAAAATAAAGTTCCATATTTTATCCCCTTGGGGGTTGAATTGATCAAAATCCTTTTTTAGCGGATGCCTACGTCCTAACATCTACCTGCATGCCAAATTTGAGCACGATCCGTCCAATGGTTTGGGCTGTGCGTAGATAGATCACTATGTCAGTCAGTCACCTTTGAGTTATATATATTAATATTGCTAAATTCACACTGCTCATGGCAGTATAGGTGTCAACACTTCAGCATTTTATTACATTTACATTTGTATGTTTTTAAAACTTCTAATGGCCCAGGCCACGTCGCTGACTAAAATTATTGATGACTTTTGATGATATATTTCGTGACAATACATTCCATCAACACGTTATTGATTTGATAACAATAAATTTATATTTTCATAATACTTTGCATCATTCAAATCAGCGGGGATAGTATCATTTCCTTGAGTATTTAAATTATGCACCAATTTGAGCACGATCCGTCCAAGGCACTAAGCACTTGCACCAAGGTATATTTCGTGTTTACGAATTTAACCGATCAAGAAACCAATGTGTGATCGTCGTTTTAGCCGCCAAAACTCGTCAGTACCTCAACTGTAATGGAAGTGACAGCACGCAATATTTCAGTATTGAGAATTGTATAGAGCTGTAATACGCCAAATTACCTTATTTGAATATAGGTACTAAAACATTGGTTCCAGCGGCGACAGTAATGTTTCTGAGTCTGAAATGTCGGGTATAGAAGTCATATCAAATTGTGATTAATTAATAAATTCATAATAATTGGTGGATTTTGTTTTATTAAAAAAACTGTTCTACTTACTGGTGTTAGAAACTTATTTAGTTAGTACAACCGATTTATCTTAATTCGATTTTCTTTAATCTGGGGTTTTCATTTTGGTATCAGCTGATGGCAAGAAACACAGTATACTTTTATTTTTAAATTGGCTGACCTAATCTAAATTTAAGCGAAATGATTAATTATGTAATAACATCTTTAAAATACATTAGGATTGCCGAAGTTTGACGAATATAGCCGAAGCGCATAATTTAAATAGAATATGTGTATGAGTATGAGTGAGACAGCGCGTTCCCGATCATGACGGACAAGTATAACAGTGTCACATGGTATACTCACCAGCGGAGGCAGTATCCTCTCCATGAGTATATACGCGGCGCGTTCTCGACTATGACGCATGCGTATAAGAGCCTCTCGTACATCGGAACCGTACAGATTGTTGCCGCCTCCTTCCCTCTGCGGTTTCAACACGAACCTGTCCAAATATAATACATGATAACGTATGTTTAAATATTAAATTTGAGTAGAGCTTCTCTATAAATTTGTATACAATTTTAAAATATAAAATGGCATATTTTTGTTTTTGGATAAGGGGTATTTTATTCTGCCTCCATCTAAATCCTAAAACATAATTATGCCAACATAAGTTGTATGTCAAAAAACCGGCTAAGTGCGAGTCGAACTCGCGCACGCACGGGTTCCGTATTATTATCTATATTAAACGCAAAATTCACAATAATTGTACGGGAATTCCTCTTAAATATTTATTTTATTTTGTTTCTAAAGTGTTCGTTTTTACAACAGCATCAGAATTAGATCATATGTGAAAACTTCAACAAACACAGGTTCGTTCATAAAATACGACCTGGTGACGTTACGTTACGTAACGTTATCCCTAAGAGATTAAGCAAAGCGATAACTGGCCTCATGCTCGTGAACAGGTGATGTTAGTGGAGACAAATCTGCTCTAAACTCTTGTTAATTTTTTTATTATGCATATCGTATAATTAATAGTATTATCAATGTTGACACAACACGAGAATCGATTGACTTAATGGAGTGTTATTTTATATATTGTAATGGAAAGTGACTTAATATTATAATAAAGTATATTTTTTTTGCAATCCGACTTCTATGTATGAAATAAAACAGGGAGAAAAACGAAACATTTGCAGAGTTTCTTGCCAATTCTTTTTAGCTTCCCGCCGAAAGTTTGCGGACCGATGGCATAGCTTTAAAAAATGCTTGTCACAGCCAAAACTATCAGTAGTATTACTACTATGGAGCAGGAAACCAGTAAACGTGTTACTACCCACTATAAATACCGTTGTAGAGCACATTCTTCGTGGATACGCCGTGGTGTATAGACGTTCGGTTAACCGTTAGAAATAAGACTGTCACCCTGTCAATTGTTATATAGATAAGTGAACCTTACTTATTTAACAAATTTTACAAGAAGTTATTTAGTGTAATTGCTGTTCTAATTATGGATAATAATGCAATTCAAAAGTATAAATCCTTTTTATATTATTAAGAAATAATTCAGTAATAATATAAATGGATAATTATTACTACACTTACGTTATATAGTACTCTGGTGTCTGAGCCCCTGCGTTAATGAAGTTGCTGAACCCAATGTGGAACCGGAGCATCGGCTTAACATTCCTTCAGAAGCACGGAGTAGCTCGAGATAATAATTTTTTGGTCACCCAACCCGTGACAGACCATTGCGAATGTTGCTTAACAACAACGAACGCAACGTTTATCCACTACGCCACCGAGCTACTTTTAATTAAATACAAAATTAAAATAGTCTAACCTCTCAGCGTCCTCCAGTGCCATCTCCACGGCTCTCTCACCATTCTCGTCAAAGTCAAGCGAGTAGAGTCCAGTAAATATGTCCCGGACTCGTTCGGTTGCATTGCCACCCCCCATGAACTTCTCCAGGACACCGGGAACCGCTAAAGCCTGTTGCACTTTCTTCGTACCGGCCAATTGGTACGCGATCGATGGACATTTTATAGCACTAAAACATATCACGATCGAAATAAGAATAGGACTGATAGTTTTGGGATAAGTATTTTAAAGTTTAAGATCATAATTAACAACTATAGGATTTATTTTCCTTAAAAAAGTATATTAAATTTAGGAAAGCCATATTTTTATTCATGAATTTAAAGTGTCTCGCGAAAAAATTTGACACGTGGCATTTCGAGTAGTGACGTCACATTTCAATAACTCGTGTCTATTGAAATACGATACGATTGTTGACGTTTAGTTTATTGAAATGTGGCGTATCGATTCTCGTAATTGACTGATTATAAATAGCAAGTTGAGTTTGTATAAATAAAATATACTTACAATTTATTTTTAAACAAAAATACTATTTAGTTGTTGTTAACATATAAGTTACCGTTTTGAACATATTTCATAATTTATTGTTTTAACTGCAAAGTAGACAATTAATAAAAAACCGGCCAAGAGCGAATTGGACACACGTTGATAGGTGCCGTACCGCAAAAAATCACGTTTTTTTGTATTAATAAATACTTTTTAATTTTATTTTAATTATTTATTATTAAATTTGATCATTTTTTTAGGCATTTTTCATTAAGACTGCTTAATTATTTATTTTAGTTATTATATAAATAGGTATAAATATAATTCTATAAATATTTTAAGCACCTGTTGAGGTTATCAATATCGAATAAAAACAAACAAAATGTCGCGTTTGTTGTGGCTCCCATATTCCGATATTTATTTTATTTCGGGGTTTTTAGTATTTGTTGTTGAAGCAACACAAATCATGGTTCATGAGAAACAGCCTGGTGGCAGACAGTCAGACAGCGAAGTCTTAGTAATAGGGTTCTCGCTTCACCCTTTGGGTACGGAACCCTAATTAATAGGACGATGATATAATACTCACGTAGATCTCTCTACTCGAAGACGCGCGTCCCATTCTTTACTGGATGGATATTGTGCGGGTTCATATCCCGACCTGTAGTATACCACTGCTACGGGCTTGTTGTCACTGTCAGAAAATCAAATTATTATATCTTACTAATAGGGCAGGCGACCAAGTTATTGCCATTTTAAAATTATGACCTATTTTTGGCCATTTTAAGAATCACTAGGAATTTAACACATCATAGCTGTTAACGCTGTTAGTTTTGCTATGATACAACATTTTAAAAATCGTTCATGTTAATTTAATATATGTATTTGCCTATGCATTAGTAAGAATGCTTTGAAGTTCCAAATGGCCAAAAAATTCAGACAATTAGGCCCCGGATTCAATAAATTTGATATAGGTACGGATAATTGTAAACCTTAATTAACATATACGCTACTTAAATTACTAGCATTTCAGATTCTCAACGGCTGCGCACACATTACTCACATGACTCTACGTGTGCAGGGAACGGATAACCCATTCATAACGGTAACCGCTTCTAACGGTAACCGATTCATTCACCATTTTTGTTTAAACCGAAATGAAAGGGTTAATTTATTTATTTATTTATTTATTTGACTAATCAACATCTGTTTACAATGATACATACTATTGATAACATTAATTCTTATTTTTTCCGACTTATTGCAACAGGCACTTAAAGGTTAGCTCCGCATGCATAATGAGCTTACAATATCTATTTAGTTATTCATTACAGACTTATATGTTCATAACCCGGGGTTTTTGCGGTAATTCGTATCGGTTAGGGCAAGTAACTGAAATATATCTGTCTTTAATTGAATTAAATTACCGAAACGGTAAAAAATAGATTTTTGGGGCACTGACATGCCCCTTTAATCAAATATGTGATGTTTCTAAAATCTATTACGATCAACTCTGGCGTATGTTGTTTCAATGACACAGGTTATCTGAAGATGTATTAAAGATATACTAAAAAAGTAGGTAATTATACCTCCTTGGAACGAGGAATAAAACATTCAATATCTATCGAACATGCACAAACCGAAACAATTCGGTTAAAGATAGTAGGTTATTCCGGTTTAACACATTTGATTTTGTAAGTTAAAATATTTCTGTTAACCGATTATGGAAATACCGAAATTAAACGGTAACCCATTCACCGTTTGGAATATTAACAGTTACGTTTCGATTAATAAACGTAACCGTCCGAACCCTGGTTACGTGTGTTATATACTAGACGAACACGTATAAGAGCTGGTATTTCCAGTTTTGTTTCGAATAGAGTATAATATAAACTTACATAATAAGTTGTTTTTTATCATTTAATTCTGTCTCCTCGTATATTTCATTCATAGTTTTTCTGATAATCTGAAAGAAAACTTCCTTATGAATATATAACACATATTGATTTGGTTTTCAAAACACATAAATATTTTATTTCTCTAAAATATTGTTAAAAAAAGGACCTATTTTTTTTGACACCTGATGGTATTTAGAATGTACGTATTTACCAACTTGAGTAACATGATACCATAAAAACTATAATATTTATAAGAAATTATTATTAATTAATTTAGTCATGGTTACAGTGAGGTAAATAATATGGTTCACTGATGAACTAACAGAGAAGGACAAATTTAAAAGCACGGAAAATGCCGACTAATCGGGATAATTCAAGATTGGCTTTAATCTAATTTATTTACTTATTATATAAATCTTTACCCAGTGGAGTGTAACATGTTTAGCACCTTACAATTATAATAACAAGACTCAGTATACATTTCAATTAATTAAAATAATAATAATAATAAGGTTTATTAAACACCAAAGATGGAATTTGCAATCATAAATTGAACACTGTTTCCCACACTAGGATTACAAAATACTAACTAACAAAATACTTTCAGTTATTCTCCATACGGTATATTAGTTAGAACTGGAACTTTGAACCAGCATGAATTTTAAGATACAAGTTCCAGAACATACATACCTGTATCTCAGGTCTTGTCTCTGATATGTAAAACTCGTGAAACCTTTGGTCGCATATATTGTAAGATACCTCCTCCACCACGAAGAGGACCACCGCTGTTGGTACACCGAAGAGGTCGAAGGCTTCAGTTATACCACTACAGAGACCTGATAAGGCACGATTCTCTGGCATCTATAGAGAAAGTATGGATATTAGAAAAATACTTTAAAAAAAGATCTTATCTATTAAGGCGGAAAGTCGATCGCAGAAATTTCACCTAATGTGATGGCTAGTTGTCAACAGTCGTCTGATTGTACAAATCTATTAAGTTTTACTTCTTGATTTTAAAGTTTAATGCATTGATTGCAAAGTTGAAGATTAATCTGACGTGACACTCTGTATACAATAAAAAGGTACATACTCACATTTTTTATCAGATCACCGTGGCCAAGTTGACGCAAGATATAACTGGAAAATAAAATAAAAAACAATTATACATTTGACAAACATGTAAAAAGGTGCTTTCTTTTTGATGATTACAAAAATCGTCCACATACGGCAAAATCATAAAGATAGCCCGTAGACTTGAGAACTAGCAGTTCTCAAGTCTACGGGCGAGTTTATCTATAGAGACAAATATTTAAAAAAATCTCTCTCTAAGCCTTAGGGAAACTTGAACAGTCTTTATTCGCCTTCTAAGGCAGTGGTATTCAACCTTTTCTATACATACACGTACTACAGGGCGTACTTTCATTTACTTTATTATACTACATGTCATTGTTTTTGGTCAAATAAAGATTAAATAATATTTCTTTCCTTTTGAAAGAGAAGTTAAACGTATCTTGAACGTAATCCTTTCGCCGTATGTAGACGTCCCTTTTCACGATTAATGAAGAAAAAACATTATTCACAAATGCAAAATCTAACTGGAAATACAAGGTGAATATAGAAAATTATAACAAAATACAACAAAAGAACACATACAATATACATTCAGATGTAAAGTGTAAAAACATAAAAACTACACGAAGCATGCTACGACTTATCACAAAGGCCCATTTTACTACACTAGACGATAATTTTAAGTGAGTTAAAACACAAAAGCTAAACATCACAAAGTGAATATGCACAAAATTGATAATTATTTATGAAAAACAAACAGTTCCCGAAATCAAGACAGATGTTGCTGGGTACTACTAGGAAATATTTGCGTCAATTTCTAAACGCGTTCCGATTTTCTCTCCGTGGTAACAAAACGACACTGAATCTCGAATATAATAAGAATTTATCACACTTTTTAACTATTCGTGTTTTAGACTAGATTGTACCATCAGTTAGGTTAAGGTTTATGTCAAATTGAACTAAATCTGTCACGCCGACATTCATATTAACAGCAGAATGTATTGCATCATGCTTTTTCTTAACATAGTAAAGCAATAACTTAAATTTATACATCTCATCTAATCTCACGTTGGAGAGATGGGGGGTCTCGGCAAATATCACGCAATTTTTAAAATAAGGCTCGGTGCGGGGAATCCCTCATAGAGTGACAAGTCTAAGGTTAAGATCATTCATTAATTCGTTGGAAAGAAAATAATTTCATTCGTACTTTGACATTATACATCACTCCTGATTGTCAAACCACTATACTCGTTTTATACCAAATAGCTCAATTTAATTTGAATTTACGGTACAATGTAGCCCGTCCTTTGTTTTCGCGCCACTGTCAGCTGAACGTGTGACTCGATGAATGAGAGCAATATGGATTACTAGTCTCAAATAAAAGTACTAACTAGTCGTAAATAAAAGTACGAAGCGAATTTTTTTTATCTTTTTATTAAAAAATCCAACGTGTTTAAATAAGAAAACCACTTTTTGAAAAATCTCACGTGAGATTTGAGGATGGGGGAGGGGATTGAATAAAATCTCACGACATCTCACCAGGGGGGGGAGGGAGGGTCAGAAAATTTGAAAAAACACCTCACGTAATTTATGGACGCCCCCTAAAGAAACGAATTTTTCTCGCTATAATCCATTACTATTAGTATAATATAGTACTATAGTGATGATATATTTGTTTTTAAAATACTTCAACATGGAGTATTAAAATCTTTTTATTCATGCGTTTTTCCGTCATGATTTAGCCTTGTCATTTTATATGTGTGATATTCTTATATCATATTAATATGTGATTAAAAATTTAAGTTTTAATTCGTAATTATCAATTCAAAACGAAATTTACACGTTAAAATCATAATAGAGATTTAATAATAAATATTTTCTTTTGACTAACCATCCATAGTACTTCAATTACGAAGAACGAGAAAGTGCTTTAAGTTTGTTTATATGTTTAGGGGCAATCACCACTGCAGGTTATGGCTCATTTTTAAGCTATTTCAAAGGTAAATGTACAACAGCACTAAGTAAATTTCCGCAGTTGGTTCTTAGCTCTACCTTGAATGCAATAAAGTTTAAAATCAAGTAGAGAAATATGACTGAGACGCAGATTATACATTATTTTGATTACTCTAACACTCAATAAACGATCATTACACATTTTAAAGTTTAACTAGACATAATAAAATCCATAGAGCGGGCATCCTAGATATTTTAACTTTTCATTATTTACTAATTACTTCATAATCATCAATTACTCCACAGTTTTTTATACCATACTCGTGTAGTAAATACCATGTCTGTGTATTTATTATACTCGTACGAGAAAATTAAGAATTACGACAATGCTCTGAACATATAAATACATATTTATTTTTTTCTTTCTTTTCATTGTAACTTATACGTCCAGTTATGTTTTTTTACGTAATTTTAAATATCTAATTAGCACATATGTCATAATTCATTTTCGAATGTCAGTTAGTTTGAATTTATAATTAATACTAAGACAAAATTATAGTCAGACTTATTTGTGAATTAAATATTATGGTATATAGTATGACAATGTTGAGAGCTTAATTATTTTGAAAATAGAAATATAGATATAACAGTAAATTTGGAATAAATGCAGACTGAGTAAATTATAAAATTCTAAATTACAATGATAGATTATACCCGAAATCGGCAGTTTATTTTTAACTCGATGCGCTCCTCTTGCAACAGTCCTAAGCTCTTATATAATGTTATTTCTTGTTAGGTGTATTCGGATATGAATCAATTTGTTTTCGATACTGAATCACAAGAAAGGCTTCACAACTCTTAATGCAAGTTAAAAAACACTATTCTTCTTCGGTGACGTACGTACTTTAAAATTGCCAACATATTTTACCATGATATTCACGTAATAGACTCTATTCACGAGCAATTAAAGCGTAAAACCATATTTTGAAAGATGTGTACCCTAATCCAAACCCAGCAATGATTGGACAGAAAGAGACAACATCATCTGACGTCTAAATAAACAAACACAATTTATGAAAAAATCAAAAGTTCTTGTATTGACCGACAGTGCAGGCGTGGTCAGGTAACATCTCTCAAGTGAGCGCAACACTAGAACTATTTTAAAATGCGGTTAATCAAATACATGCTCTATAATCTATAGATAAAAAAAATCAAAATAATTCTTACCCAAGACCAAACATGGCGCTTATATTGACATAAATATATTACATTATTTTACCGATAATGCAAAAGCTCAAACGTGCATCAAACAACAAAAAAAACAATAATAAATAATATAGCACAGTGTTGGAAGAAAGTAAGATGAAATGTAAAGCGTGTATTGAAAACAATAATGCAGCAGTCAAATGAGAGATGTCGACTGATTTCATTGTCGCTACAGCGATACGGGCATAAAACCTGGACATATAGCAAAAAAATTAACAGAAATTATTTCGTTAGAACATAGGAGACGAATTCCTTTGCCTTATTTTATTATAATAAAATGTGTCCAGGTAGTTTTCCCGCGCACTCAGCGACGTCATGTCGGTACCGAGACATGGCGGGCAGATTCGACGTGATGGCGCCAAAACTGGAGGCGATTGTGTTAAATTCCACTTGCTTAATCGCATTCCGATCAGCATTCTGCATCAGGTAGTCGGAGCGGAAGAGGCCAAGGCTGAGTGACTGCAAAATTTTAAACTATAAACTTCTGTCCATTCATTGTTGCTTTAACTCATTGTTACTGCCGACTAATAAAGAGGTCAAGTAAATGTATTGAGATTGCGTTAAATGTACGGTGAATTATTTATAAATATTATGCAAAATTCGGGTCAGATAAACATCCAAAATAATATTAATAAAAATCAACACCTAAGATTAAGTCATTATCATTAGTGCTGAAGTAAAAATATCATATCGGTAAAAAATAATGTACGCGATGTAATAAAATAATTAAATTGAACAAAAACATTTACTTGGTTAAAAATATTTAAAAAACTTGCAATAAATGAATTTATAATAGACTTTATATTAATTCATCAATTTATATTACACAATATTATAAATTCCTGTGTATTCGCGCCTGTAATAGCAAAATCAACTCAATAGTTGTCTTATTGTTTAAATAATAATGACGTCATTTCTATCTAATCTAATCAAAGACTTTTATGTACGAGTACATATCACCCTTCTACTAGACGAGCAATTCAGAAACAATTGTTTCCAGACAAAATTTTGCGTAAGAAATCAGCGGTTTGAAGAAAAAACAGTATTTTATATTTTTAGAACTAATATGATTTTTAATAATAAATAAATAGTTTTTAATTTGGTTTCATTTCTATTCATCAAGTTGCTCTTAGTTTGATTTCTAATTTTGTTTGGTTTAATTCATCATATTTACATTAATAACTAATTAATTTACTCTTCATAAAGCACGTTTAATCTCATTGCGATTCCTTTAATGTGGTTGTATTAATTTAGTTAGATTAGTTTTATTTGGTAACATTTAATTTCATTTATTTATATCAGTTTTAGTTTCATTATATATTCGAACTGCAGTTTTCTATATATTTAATTTATGTTACACGACAATTATGTAGATCTAATTTTATTAAACTCGCAATGCCGCAGTCTTGTTAATGGCGGTCGAAATGACGGTTGTACAATTTTTTACAATATTAGCGAGCCATTTCAATTAAATAAAATAGTAGTATGTAGTGCGATGTGGTAGATAGTGAGAGCTTCTTCTAATGTTGACTACGGTAATTTTAACGGTTGCGCCTTGGTTTATATATAAACTAGCTTTCCGCCAGCGGCTTCACCCGCGTTGTCTTGTATTATACATAAAAATCCTCTTTTTGCATATATATGATAAAAAAAGACCGCATCAAAATCCGTTGCGTAGTTTAAAGGAAGATACATATAGACAGAGAAAGTGACTTTGTTTTATACTATGTAGTGAAAACTCATATTAACTATCAGCTATCTTCATTATATTAGCATAGAACTAAGAAGACATTTAAATCTATAATATATAAAGTTATATAGAAATTGGGAACTAACATATTTCCTTAATATATATATATTAAAAAAAACATAATTTCGGTCTTCCGACTATCATTACTGTCTTTATGACGTCACAAGGTTCCAATCTTAAACCAATCGCCATTTCCAAAAAAAAAAGACATACAATATGTAAAATTCAACTAGCATATTACATTGCCACTGTCTGCGTTCTACAGTCAGTTATACATTATTATCTGTTTAGCCGACAAGACAATGGGTATTAGCTTACCAAGTTTACATTGGAAAAGCAAGACGACCGGTCGGCATTCAACACAACAATGGTCAAACATGTACAAAAATACATATTTCTATAAACAATGTTACAACTAAAGTGATGAATCGTGTCACTAATTATATATCTGGATATTATAAATATTATCTAATTCATTCGGACAAATTAAAATAGCTGAATTTATTACTTTATCAAGCTTCTATGTATATTACCTAATATGTTTTTGAAAAACAATAATAGGTGTACAATAATAAAAATATTCAACTAATCACAAATTATTGAAAATTTTTGTGAATTAAAAGGTGTTAATGGTATGGTAGAATAGACCATGTACGATCACAATTAATTTAACAGAGGTCAAATGGACAGAAATAGCTGGCCTTGTTTAGAGCTGTGACCACAACAACGATTCTACCTATTGAGCTTGGTGATGGGGGTAGTGTTTTTTTTTTTAATAAAAATTAAAGTTATTATTTTTAGTTTATTACTTTCGCCAATCCCAAGTAGATATCGTTAACGATCTAAAAAGTGACTAATTTAATAATTATCCATAATATCTATTGATTATATATAATCGTTAATTAATCACACTGACTTTAACATATACATCGACAAATCAATATATACATATACAGAACATTCAATTATCTTAAAAATTTTATTTTCATTGTAATTATTCACTCGTATCCTTCTAACGATGAAAAATAAAATAGATAAAATATTATTATTATATGTAACACAAGAACCAGCGACAATAATTTATAAACATCTTTATTATCTATCTGACAGTTCTATTTTATTTTACATCTCTGGTCTTCATGTTAAACATGCTTAGGATTTTAGTCTAAGTGATTTCATTAGTAACTACGTTTTATTATCTCTATTAATTAGGTACGTATTATAATGGGCCCAGTGATACAATACCGTCCACAAGGGTACTCGTTTATTAAAGCCGAATCTAAACAAAATGCCAACAAAGCTAAAAAAAAACTAACAAACAATTCACATTTGCATTCACAATATTCTAATCTGTTTGAAGTTTTAATACGTGCTGATATTAAACGCTATCTGCCATATTTATGACGTCATTACGATATGTACACAAATCCTATGCATATCGTCTTATTATAAAACGAGAACTATAGTTTTGGTCTAAACCATTGGCCGTCTAAAGAAAATTGACCATGACAGAAGAGAAAATGTCAAATTGAAAGGTCTCGACTTATTTTGGTTGGTAAATGGTTTAAACCTGGTACTAAAGTCGGCAGTGACGTAGCTACATGGTGGCAAGTCGGCACAATGCCACGGGCCCCCAGCTGGAATGGCCCTCGGTCAGAGGAGACTCCTTAATCCTGACATTTATTATTACACAATTAGGTAGTAAAAAAGATAGAATATCCGATGAATTTGCTACGGGTCTCAAACGGTATAGTTACGCCACTGAAAGTTAGTCCCTGTTTTATAATAACACGGATAAAGTCTATTGTTTGATAGGTTAAAATATTTCAATCAGACAACAACAATGCGATCTAATAAAAATATATAAATAAGACCAGTGTAAAATAATTGGCAAGTAAATTTCGTGTTTCATAGTAGATTTTTGAACATCTCAAAATTTGTCCCACAATATCATACTTCGTTGACCCTCTATACCCCACCCCATTCACGTGTGTCGCAACTCATAGACAAACACTATTTCCATTGTTTAAAAAAAAATATCATATCGTAGGTAGCGACGGCCTCCGTAGCCGAGTGGTTCGCACGCCGGTTTCAAGGTGTCACCATCTCGATTCCCGGACGGGTAAATGTAGAAAATTAACTTTTCTATATTGTCTCTGGTCTGGGTGTTGTAGTGCTTTCGTTGCCTCAGATACTTCTTAATACGGGGGCATTAGCTACTCATCTTGGAATCTGAGCAATGTATGTAATATTGTCTATTTTTTATTTATGTTTATTTATTGACAGTGAAAGTGAATGAAATCGTTGCGAAGTACATTTAAAAGTTTCTGTTTTTTTTTTCTGTTCTGAAACTCTTGTGAAATCATATAATTACATTACAGGTCAATGCTCAGTCAAATAGAAAATGTTGCGTAAAACTGTCCCGTTCGCTAAAATGACTGAGGTATTATGAAAATAAGATTGTATGTAAAGTTTAAATCGGTATAATTATAACAATAATTGTAATATTAACGAATTTTAATGGTAACTTTGTTATTTTTTTTTCTGTCGAGATAATGTTTGCAACATGACAGTTGAAACTTACTAGTTTAGATTCATTATTATTTTATATTTATTATGATAACATCAAATGAAAAACAAATCATTCTCAATCAGTGTTAAATTCTAGACATAATCACATCAACAGCGGCTAAAAGTCCCCGAAAACGTTTTTATATTAATATACAACATCTTTAGTTAAAATAACTCATTATTTTTTGTAAGAAAACCTTTTCATTTCCTACAAAAAAGCATTATATATTTTAAATATACAATTCAAATGTGTATAATACATTATTTTCTTAACCACGCCATCCACAAGTAGATTAACTATACAATGCTATACCATACTATAATATACAAAGACAAGCTAAAACGAGTACCCAGCGTACGGGCGAACTACCTCTGTATATCTCTCGACACGGGACCAAGATGGCCGAAGCCGGAGGCTATGCTGTTGATTTCCACTTGTTTCCACGAGCAGTACGGCGTGTGTTTAGCACACTGCTTCTCTGTATGAGGACATCTTGACTCCAACATGATGTCAGAGCGCAGCATACCTAGTGCTATCGGCTAATCGAGACAGAGAGGAAACAATAATGGGGGAAGTAGACTTTAAGGTAACGGCATAGGGTTACTTTTATCTCATCATAACATCATCATGCAGTAAAATTAATTGTTAGATTTAGCCACGATATCGCAACTACTGTGTGTTTAGAGTTTTATTATCAAAATCTCATGTTTATTGATATTAATATAACAAATTTTATTATAATAAAATACCAAATTTTAGAGAATATGTACCTTTAAAATATACCTTTATAATTATACTTTACATGTGAAAAGCATTAAAGTTCTTTCAAATAATAATATAATTGCACAAAATAAATGATTTATTGTAGTGTGCTAAGAAGGTTAGTAATAATACGATTATGTAAATTGTAACCTACGACATGTAGGTACAAAAATCATCATAATCGTGCAAGTTAAACAAAAAGACGTAAAGTACAGGAGTTTAATTATATCTAGGCAATCAAATTTAATTATTGATCTAAGCACGCAAAGAGATCGAAGTATCTTGATGTCATTTCTTCAATTTCTTTAAAACCTGTTACCAAACAAAGAGAATTTCGTACATTGACCTCTGTGCCTACTACTAGATATCGTAAACATTTAAGGTTTACTTTACTATGACAATATTGACAAAATGCGTGCACATTAGCAATGTTTGAGCGCGAGTGAAACAGATATGTGATATAAGGTCATCGCACGAAATTCTTTCGCCTTTACGTCTTAGTCTTCAATTTGGGCGGTTCGATAATTATGACGATGACTGTACAACTCCATACGTAGTAATTACACAAAGAGTAAAAACAAGGCTTAGTATATTCACTAGAATTTACTGTAGGTAGCTTTATTAACTACTATGAAACAGAATAATATCACTTCTATTCAAAATATTTACACAATATCAACCTTATAAAAAAACTGCAGAAATTTTTGATATAATATAAATTGAATACGTTTATAAAAGAACTTGTAAGGAAGGGAAAACTTGACCAAGTATAATAGTGTCATCAATGACAAATATATTTATTTATTACCTGTGATATGCCTTCATTGCGAACGGTTATCCATATATTGTAGAGATTGGCTGTAAATTCATCTACTTGCAGGGCATTTTGAAGTGTGCTTTCAAGAAATCCATCATCATGTGCCACCTAAAAAGATACTTTAACATTGATTGATGTCATCTGATTCATTTGACCATCAGATCAGATGGTGGTCATCTAATCTGATGGTCAGCACAGCAATGCTCCTATATTTTCTTGACTCGGGCGCCAGTATCGGGGGGGGGACGAGAAACCATCATACGACGCGAACACTAAATACATAATCGTGATTAAAAAATAGAACGGGATCCAACAAACAATGCTGGGTTGAGCTACCTCTGGCGTCAAAGTATCGGTTTTTATCGTCGGTCTATCCTTTTTTGTCACTCAGAATCGCCATTTGCTAGAGCTAGAAAAATAATGTTTTACAGATCGAGGATTCCGCCGCATGCTGTCGCGCACCCATTATCTTTCTCGCTCTAGAAGAATAAGGCGACGGAAAAATAGTCATTAGTGTAGTTTTGTCTACAATGAGCGTAGCCATGTAGATAAGATAAAATGGAAAGATCAGGCCATGATCCACCATGCAGACTGAGTATAATTTGTGGGTAATAATGATAAATTTTAATGACTATATAAAAGATACAAAAAATTGTACACTTAAGCTGAGGCTTATAATTATTTTACTTAGATCTAATACTATATATTGCTCAATTTGGTTCAAAGCCATATTTCAGTATAAAGCATCTCACATGTGCTGTCTGCAATTTCAGACAGTACCAGCTGCTTAACATGCCGTCTGAAGCATGGAGCTCTATATAAGATATAAGTCACCCATCCTGTGGCTGGCTATTGTAAAAATTGCTTAGCCACTCAAATATACATGGTTACAAAAGTAAGCAAATTCTTTTTATTTACTTTTGTGGAAAAAAAGCCTTTTGTTGGTTTTTGTAGTTTTTAGTACTTACTATGAAACATAGAAAATGCTTTATTAAAAAAATATTACAAATGAATAGTCTGTAACTTATATAACATGTGATAGTCTGTGATATCTATGAGTGTAAATAGCTTGACGTTTCTAAGGGATGACAGTTCACAATTTCAATGTTTAAGTTGTTAGTTAGCACATTCAGTCTGTGATGCCAAGGGTAACATTAGAGTCTCGATTTACATAAGAAACTCTGATTCAGATTTTCAGATTACACAGGAGGGGGTCAGAAGCAGGTAAAAATCATCATACACTATTAATGGCATAATGCCCATTCTTTTATAAAATAAATTTTATTAATTTTTCAAGTTGTTAACAAATTAAATAAAGCTAAATCAGATGAAAGGTTTTTACCTTATGCATAAGTTCATTTAAAACTGGTTGCAATTCAATCGCTTTAGTGAATTCTGCCCTCGGGAATGGCGAAGGAAGAAGCACAAATGGTGCTATCTGCAATAATAAGATTCTTATTAGCACATAAAACTTCTTTCAACAATTCATATCAGCAACTACAATCTCTATAGTAGACCTCTGAGATGTTTGGTTGTTCAGTTTCTTCTTCTTCTTCTTTTTAATTATTGGCGTTTCCCTTTTGGATTTCGCCAAAATCCAGTGTTTTACTCAGTTTAGTTTTGCTTCTAATATAAATTCTATAGACTCTGCTTTATATGAAGTGTAGTGAAAGCATACGTTAATTTTGAATTTTGGTAATTGTTCAGTTTACAGCAGTGAGAATGCAGAAAACAACTTATATTACTTGAGGTGTCCATGTAGTTTGTGGTACCTTTTTTATTTCAGATATTCCATAATACAAGGGCTTTTGCTACTTATATTTGATTCTGAGCAATATATGTTTCATAACCTTTTTTAGTTATAGCATTAGATAAAGTTACGTCAATAAAATCATTAAGAGGAAAGAGGGTTGATGAAGTGTGACATTTTGTGGCAATGATTTGTGAATTTCAATTCAAATTATAAAAATTCAGGTTTCTAACTTTGTTTGTTTCATGTTGGGGTAATCTTCGGAAATACTGATTGGTCATGAAAACTCTTTCACCTACAGGAAAGCACATCATATGCCGGTAACATAGGCTATAATTTACGTAGGCGAAATTGTGGGAAAACAGAAGGTGTTAAAGAAATGAAATGGTGAATTATAAATAAGTATAGTTTGTGATTGAATTATAGTATTTACCTGTATAGTATCTTTATTGAAGTGTTTCTTATCCCTCATCCCGACTCCATGCATGAGAGCCCAATCTTTAGCTTTCTCTATAATGTTTACTAACACTTTCTGCTCTAATGGCAGCGGTAAACATGAAGCAAATCGAGCTTGAGACATTTTATGATGTTAATGCAGTCCAAATTAAATACGATAAACTTCCAATAAATAATGGCAAAATATGAACAGATCAGGAAACTTGCACGATATAATTTTAAAATAATTAGCAGAAAAGAAACCGGAAAGAATCCACAAGTAAACTGTGATTACAAAAAAGGTTGACTGACAGAAAATGACATTTGGTTTTCTTGACTAAATATGGTTGACATTGACAATAGGGATGTGGCGATTTTTTTGTTTGTCCGTCTGAAAGATAATGAGAAGTATTTAGAAAAACATTAGTTCCCGAAACCAACTAGAGGTCGCTAAGATACGTTTTTGATTTATCCATTACAAAGTAAATTAACTATAACTAACTCATATTCTATATGTACTTTTTCGTATTTGTATTGACATCTAAGTTTCGAACGTTTCAAATTTCAGTTTTTAATGTATTAGTTAAAAGTATCGGAAATGACTGTCTTGGTCCATTCGTTTCCTGCAAAAACAAGTTTTGCTGGAGGCGCCATCTAGTGGAGGTGCTATTTTATTGCTTTATTTTTTTTAATACTTCCTCATTTTTAATTTATTTTATAGTCTATGCCAGGCAGGTGAAACTCCTATACATTATCATAGTTCAAAAAGTTCACAGAAACTAGCGCCATCTTTTGCGTGGGGGACCCTAGTTAGTCAATAAGTTATTAAATATTTGCTACGAGAGGGCACTAGCAATGCCGATGAATTAAACTGAGCAATCAATTTAATCGAAAATTGGTTTTCCTATTATTAGATGGGTGTGTAGATATATATTTTAATTATTAATTAATTACTGAAAAAAGAAACTAAGGACAAAATTAATTGTAATTCTCATTTAATTTTCTGTACGGCAACATTAAGGTAGGTACGAGGGAATTTTCCCATACCTGTTGTTCCACCATATTTGCATAACATACTTTCTTCTTTTTGAGTTCGTTGTGGTTCGTTGTGCGTTTATTGTGTTTTACTGTCATATTTGCTACGACTTGATTACGGACTTTGTGATTTTCTACGCTTTACGATAACTCCTGGCTTGTAACTTGGACCCCGGACTGATTGCATAACTGTTAAATTGGCGCTTTTTATCACGGACTTCATTTATGATTTTGTAAACTTTTGCAAATATGCCGAAAGCAAATAAAGTAAAATGTTACTTCGGCTGTGTTATCGATGGTAAGTTTTTCAATTACGTAAGTTTCTACATTTCCATTCAAATTACATCTACAAGAAAGGGAAATTAACAGTAAACTTACAACTGGAAATAACACCTTTGTGTTACAGGTGAATCAACTTATTAAATTATTGTACTTTTTAAAACTAATTATTCAATCAATACCAAAATATCCCATTTATTTTTAATTGTTATTCCTGTACAAAATATTTAATCTTGTCTCCCTCTTTGATTATTTAGCCATAGAGCACGCATCACAGAGATGATAAATATTACAATGATATTATATTTATAGGTCCTCTACACCATTTCCCAAAATAGGAATATCCTCGTACAGAGAAATTCAATCAATGGAAGTGTGTACTTGATAGTGCAACATACAAAAAGGAGACAGGTTAATTTATAATTCCATTCGAATCTGCCACCGCCACTTTGAAAATTTCCATCAACTACCAAGCAAATATTTAACATAAAATGCTGTCCCTTCATTGAATTTAGGTAAGTTTTCGTATATTGTATTTTGAGTATTCTATGTTTAAAAATAAACTAATTTAACAATGACTTCATTATTTAATTTACAGCTGTACCAAGTGAACACAACATTTTGCAACCATTAAATGAAGAATCTATGGAACCATCAACATCAGGTTTCCAACTAGTAGAAATAGAAACAAAACAAGATATCATAGAAAAAACTGCATCAAATACAAAATCTTTACACATGCAACATGTAGAGCTGGAATCAACAGCCTTATCAAATGGTGAGTATCTTGATTAATTTTGCAGCTTAAGTTTTGATTTCTGTAAGTAGGTTTATAATAAAACTTCATCATCAGCCATTGGCAGTCCTTTGCTTTACATTGGCCTCTCCTAATGTTGGTCCCTTGATTACATGATAAATAAAAATGAGTAAGAATTCAATTGCATTTAAAGATTACTGTCCACTTTATTTTAGAATTATTTTTACTTTCAGTCCCCAAGAAACGCTGTTTGGAACAGAAATCCAAAAACATAATTTAAAAATTATTAAAAAATCTAGCGAAATTGCAAGTTACTTGTTGCAAGAAAAATTGCTATGTCGAAATCTTTTTTAAAAACCATAGAAAAATTACCGGAGGCACCGCAAACTTTCATGAAATTGCAGTTGAAATATTGAAATACACCACGAGGAAGACGATACACCACTGATGAAAAAATTATGGCCTTATCTATACTAAAACAAAGTCCTAAAGCATATAAACTTTTGGAGAAAATGTTTATGTTACCATCAAAACGTTGTTTACTAAAGATACTCAATACATTACAATAAGGCCAGGAATTAATGAAGAAATATTAGAATTTTTTTTTAAATGTGTTGATCGTTTGCCCAAAGAAAAAAGAATTGTAAATTTATTATTTGATGAAGCTGGTCTTATATACAATGAGTATCATCGATATATCAAATTATCGATATAAATAAGCGATATATTTTTCCCGCGATATATCGGCTTTCGATATTTATTTTCAGATATCAAATTCGATATATATTTTTTTTATTTCTGGTGTCTGCACATGCGTCACATCATGTATTTCTTAAATTTAGAAAAAGAGTAGGTGGACAGTAGGCTCTATAAGTTTAGTCTATGACCTGTTTGTGTTTTTTGTTTGTCTTTTTATTTGACAGTAACACTGCTTGTTAGTTTAGTTGGTATCACTGAGTGTGCTCCTGATGACAATATCAGAGAAATGCACGTTTGTTTGAACAATCTAATTTTGGTTCTGTTAATAATGTTGTTTTTATAGCTTTATGTACCTATTTTAAATAATAAATCTGATATCAAAACAGCCAGGTGTGTAGTTGCTTCAAAATTTCGAATATTTTGAAATTATCATTGATAATCACTTAATACGCAGAAAATATCGATATATCAATATATCGATATATTTTTAACGATATTTATCGATATATTTGAAAAATATCGATTCGATATATATATCGATATTTTTTTCCCATTTGCCCATCCCTACCACAAGATCTGAAACCCCTTCTCCTTAAAGTCATAAAACAGATAAATGAAACAGGGCTAAGAGTAATTTCTACTATTTGTGACCAACACACAACAAATTTTGCAGTAATAATGGAGTTAAGGGAAGAGACACAGAAAAAAAAAAATACCAAAGAAGGAAGACCAATAATGCAAACAACATATTTTGAGGTAGACAATACAAAAGTATTTCCTTTGTTTGATCCACCACATTTGCTAAAAAGCATAAGAAATAACTTATTGACGAAAAACGCCAAATTTATACTAGATGGTGAGGAAAAAGTAGCAAAATGGGAACATTTAAATATGCTTTTGGCCATTGATGTTGGTGATGATGAAATTCGTCTTGTAAATAAACTGACGGAAAATCACGTCAACAAAGATAAGATAAAAAAAATGAAGGTGAAGTTAGCTGCCCAAGTATTTAGCCAACGTGTATCGTCTGCGCTTTGATTTTTAGCAAGTAAATGTATTATTTTACTATTTGTTATTTCCTCTTTTTTCGTTGTTGACTCGATGTAACGGTTCACTTAATCCTTTAATAACAACAGTTACAATTTTAAAATTACTAAAGCCATAAATATTTAATCCTTATCTAACGACAAAGAAAAAAAACTATGGACAAAATAAAATATGTATGTACAAAATAAACTTAAACTAGAAACCAGCTTGCAGGTTCAGTCAACGATGCGCGAGCGCAGGAGTATTAGTTATTTAACGATTTCCCGTCCGAAATAAGAACCTATTATTATGATATTATACAGTCCTTTCATTTACTTTTGAAACCTATTTTCGGTGTAACTCCACAATGAGTTAGACTCTAATTAACCTTTTTCTCTTTTCAGGACATGGAGTATTACTTGCTGAATGTGAGGGAACAGGAGGACTTTCTTGTTCTGTTTGATAAGCTCTTTGATTCTTTTAATGGTCATTCCTATAAAGGTGAACCAAAAATATATAAAAACTGTATTAGACTTAATTCCCCTCACTTCCAACATTGGGTTGATTTACTTCCAATTTTAGAATCAATCAAATATAAATCAATAAAAGTAAAAAAATGCAATTGAACAAATTAAATTTGAGTCGATTCCGTCAATTAAAAATTGGTTTTCTAATATAAAAAAATTTAAAGAAATGTGGAAATATTTATATGACAATCATAAAATAACAAATTTAGAAGCTAGAAATTTTAATCAGGGTCCTTTAGAAAACTTTTTTAGTAACATAAGAAATAATGGCGTTAGAAATATTAATCCTAATTGTAATCAATTTATCAATGCATTTAAGACTTTGATTGTTAATTATTATAATTCTGCTCAATCTGCCGGTGCTAATTGTGAAAAAGATTTTAATACTTGCATGCAATCACTCTCACATTTGATTGGTATTAAGCATGATTCTCCCACTGTTTATTTTGCATGTAACATTGATTCTTTAATAAATGTTATGATAGATATCAAAAATAATGATTCCCTATTGCATGTTGAATCGAAAAAATATGTAACGGGTTATGTGATAAAAAAAACGAAATCAAAAATGTTTAAAAGTTGTGCTACTTGTTTAAATAATATATGTAGGTCTGGTGTTGATTTTGATTCTTTTAATTACGAAATTGATTACACTAAGTGAACACTTTTTCATCCAAATGATGGGTTTATAAAATTAATGAATAATATATACTATCTTATTGTTGCATATTTGCGAGATAATCCTACGTCAATCAAATCAAATCATTTTAATGGTTCTGCATGTGATTTCAGTATTAAAACTTGTAAGATACATTAAGCTGCTTTGGTTGATTTTATTTGTAATCTTTCTATCAAAGTAGTAGTACACAGTTGGTGTTTAGGGGTAAACAGATTATTCAATGGAAAAATTACAGTTTTTGATAGGAATGATCATGTCAAAAATCAGGCGTATAAATTTTATAAGAGGAAAAGATAAATTAACCAGT